CACCATCGTCATACACCTGAGGGTGCTCTCAATTGCAGTCTGAGAGTCCGATATCCGCGACGATGTTTATGAGTAAGCCTCTCTGAAATTGTGGAGTACGCGCGACTTGTGCCACGTCCCCGTTGTGCGCTAGAGTCGCCGAGATGGGAGGCATAAATGAATTATATCGTGAAACTCCAGCGGTAGTCCGCCTTAGGCTACTTGATATAGCGCCTTGCGGCATTTTTATATATAGCTAGGCTCAAGGAGACCGACGGCTTCTGAAAGAGATATACTCCTAATGCAAGCACACGCGTTGCGGCGGTTGGCGATGGTCAGCGTGCACTCGCGAGGCCTGCCTGTTAAGAGACGTGACGCATCAGTAACGGATGCACGGCGTCTTGGGGGACGTGACTCAAAATCCGGAGGTACGAGATACGGGCGGCTCCGAGATCCAGCCAATTCTGAGCGGTACTAATGAAGAGTATGAGCATCTCGGAGTTGGCCGCGAGCTGGACGAGCGTGGGAATTGGGCCACAGCAGGGCACGTGACTGTCTCCGCGGTGCTCCTGCTTGACCGTCGAGTATCTGCTACTTGACATCATTCCTGTTCTGGTATGCATCTGGTATGGTGCATGTCACGTCCAGGACCACTCTATGCCACTACAGGCCCTACGAGACTATCAGGGCCTACTGGCTATGGATTATGGCAGGCGGGCCTGAGCGGAGGCAAACGGCGTACGCTGGCGGAGACTCGGTGTAGCGCCTTCAAGTCCGAGTTGGCTCCTTCTGCCCCGTTCTTACCTGCTCAGCTGCGTATAACCTTCCATGATAGTATTGGACATCTACGGACAGGATCCCACGCCTGGATCTCTCAGATACCCTTTCGGCCCTCGTGTATCACCTAGGTTTCTCCGGAACTTGCCTTCGCCGTCTACATCCACCATCCCTCCACCTTTTTTGCCAGAAAGTACGTGTCGACTGTTCGCTTTCTGCTATGTGCTGGATCTATTGACCTTGTTCACCGGTACTCAGCCATGTCTCCATCGGTTCTTTGCTATGACATTCTCCTATCCATCTTGTCGGTGTCTCCTCCTAGTATCGCTACATCGATCATGGCCACCTGTGGTCTCCTCTACCATGAAGGAGCCAAGATCATCATCGGGCGTGGGATCACTCTCAAAGGACCAGAAGAGAGGGCATCGTCCCTTTTGCGCTTCCTGGCAGCCGAGGATCTATCCCGATGCTCCTACGTGCGCGCACTCTCTATCGAAATCGAAACAATACCCGAGTCGGTTGCCGAAGGCCTGATACCCATCTTGCCGCGCATGAGCTCTTTGGAGTTTCTCTCTGCGACTCCAGAGAAGATGCTAGAGCCGTACCCGGATCTCTTTCAGGCCTTCGCTGCTATCCGATCTCTCAGACGGCTCGAGGTGATAGGTGTGGGGGAGCACTCTATCCGGCTAATCCAAGCCCTCCAATCCAAGCTCGTCTCAGCGGTGCTGTACTTCAGTTATGACACCCATCTACGGAACACATCTCACCCAATCCAGATGCTAGAGGGGTCTGCCTCTACGCTTGAGCAACTGACATGTGGCGGATTCGTCGATATCAGCGCGGAGCCACAGCTCATGGCTCTCACGACCACCACAGCTTCGAAAATCACCTATCCCAAGATGCGATCCCTCGCTCTAGTCAACAATTTAGTACCCCACCCTATTCCCTACATCAGATCATTTCCCAATCTCACGCATCTCAGCATCAAGAGCCTTCACACCGTTCCTCTGGACGACGCTCTCGGAGACCTCGTCCACATCAGACGCCGTTTGAATCTTATCATGCAAGAACAAGACGAGGATGGAGACGCGCGCAGCTGGGATCACCTAGAGCACTTTTTCGGTCGCCTCGTCGATCTCTGGGCCCTTGGCCTTACGTGTCAGATCCACATCCTCTCACTCGAAGACAGGCCAGGACGGCGGGTACCCAGCGCGCTCGCTGACGTACTGCGATATGCACGGCCCTCAGAGCTCCAGTTGTCCTTCTACGGAGGCTCCTTACAAGGTGTCATTGCAGCAGACTTCCTGAGTGCGTTGCGCACTGCGGGCGCGGCCCATTTGAAACGCTTGATAGTGAATGTTGACTTGATGGCGGAGGACCGCGACGTTGATGCAGCTCGTATCTTGGTGAGTTTCGTAATCTCACTGTAGTTCTAAGTCTTTCGAACTCACATCACACCGCAGGCAAATTTCGAGACTGCTATTGCAGGCTTACAGATCCAACAACTCAAGCTCTGGGTGGCCGATATCGCCCTATCAGACTCTGAGGAGACCCCAGGCAGGTTCACCTCGGAAGTGGCGGAGCATGACGCCGATACCCTCACCCCATCAGGCACGTATATGGAAGCCTCCAGTTTAGACGGGACGGCGCGCTTATGTGCTTGCGTAGGCTCAGTAACTCACGCATCGCTCTGCATGGCGGAACGCACGCTGGCTGCTTTCGACGTCGAAGCATACACCCATCGACTCGTATCTGCTGCACCTGCGATCAAGAACATGGTGATATCGATCGAAACGCCACGCCGGTGCGGTGGAGACAATAGGTTTGCTGTGTTTGGCATAGAACACGGGCCAGCTCCTACGTGGCATACCGAAGGCAAGATTGTGTACCAGAGAGTAAGCGCAGCGAAGTGGGTGGAGATCATGAGGGATAGGGCCATGTTGTCGTTGATGTCTGGACATCGACAAGCGGCATAGCGACTCGCTACCATATCTTCAATTGATCTCAGTTGTGCTAACAAGTTTGAACGTGTAAAGTAGCAATAGATCGAATGATCTTGCACGTCTCTGTGGCCCGAAGCATGCTCCTTGGGAATATGCATGGGAGGATTAAGTATCGGGATAAGACCATCCTCGACTCCGAGATCGTCCCTTCAGTACATCGCACGTCGTCGCAACACAAACCCGATGACCCGTGCATGTCACGACGTCGGAGATACGACATGAATCCACATCCAATCGCCGGCCTTGTTTGTATCGCAGCCCACTACTCCGCTGTTGGAGATCAAGGTTCTGACCAGGCAGGTAGGTAAAAGGCTACATCTCATTCGAGCGCCGCGGCTCTCAAGCCTTCCTGTGTCAGGGTGCTCAAAATTCGTCGCAACTTCAGGGATACAGACTGCCACCGAACCTCCTCTTGACAGTGTCTCAAAGGGGAGGGCTCCCGCTGCCCCTCCGCCAGAGACAACTGAATATCTACCTACGGGCTCATGGTAATCAAGTCCTATCGTTGAGGCAGGGACGGTGAGACTGTGACTTACTACCAATGCCAGAGAAGGAGACGAGAGATGTGCTGCCACCTGCTGAGCAGTGCAGCCCTGTTCGAAAGGTTACCTCGAGTCACTACGCACGCTAGGAGTAGCATCTTAAGAGCATTCGACGGAGAAAAGCAGCGATATTGCACTGAATTGTTAAGATATCCGAAAAGAAAGTATCGAAGCCCGACTGACTGCGCAGCGCGTGCATGAGCGCTTCGTGTCGCTGTCCCTTCCCTCTCTCCATCATCCTGCCATCACCGTACGAGGACGGTGCGCTCAAGTCCCGACCTTGCGAAAAGCAACGTCCATGCGTATCCTTTGCTCTGAGCTGTGTATATATTGTCTGAGGTCTTACATTGCTGCGTATCGTGCGATCGGCAGTCGACATCGGTTTTTCTGGACACCCTTGTAAGCTGCACGCCTGTCGGTACGACATCCGCAATGCATCTCGGACGAAAAAGACACCCTAACTGGGAGATAACGACATCACAGTCTCCGCGCTTCATAACTTGCTCGCATGGGAAGGGAGAACGTGGGAGATGGAGCTATGCTGAGGTGCCAAAGACTGCCGCGTCACACACCCAAGCTGATGCCGTACGTTTGCTTCCCAGATTCTCTCTCTATCTCTGATCATGCTTCATACTGGTTGGCCCGATATTTTTTGTATTTTTTCGCTGAAGTGTATGAGATGGACTGCGCTGACCTGCGTAGCGGCAGCTAGCGAGCCTTTGAGCCTAGTCTCAGCAGGGAAAACTCATGCTTCGAGTCCGATATCCCGGTAATATTTAGCTGATGGTACAAACTTCCAGCTATGCCTTGTTAAGGCTGCCTAATGTCTGATAATCGCTACTGTAGGTATAGTCCCTTGACTATATGCGCCAGCCTCACCATACACTGTTACTAGCACACGAGAGCATCAATCCTAAGCGTTCGACCATCGTCGCGAAGTTATCCTTCCCGCGGTATGTCGATACGATTACTCTCATATAGGTGCGATGTGTTGACAGGCATATGTAGTGTGATGACACTCCTGATGATCCATTGAAACACGAAGATACTGGCTCACTGTACCCGAGACACCTGGAGTTGCCACGGTTCCTCATGCGAAGGAAGCACCTCGTGCGAAGGAAGCACCTCGAGCTCGGCAGACATCGTGACATCTCCTTTGACGTAAAGTACTTCCTTGTGCACGACCATAACCTTGACCGACTCGTCTAGCAGCGAAAACGAGAGTATGTACTACGATGTGTCCTCGACGATTTGCATGATGTACTCACTTCGATAATCATGCATAGACATGTCGCCGCCGGTCCTGAACCACGATATCCTCCTCACAGTGATGTCTGTCTCTCCTACCAGTACTGCCACATCGATCATGGCCACCTGTCGTGACCTCTATCATGAGGGAGCCAAAATCGTCCTCCAGCATCCGATCAGCCTCGGTGGACCGGAGGAGAAGGCATTGTCCCTTCTACGCTTCTTACAGGCCGAGGATTTCTCCCGATGCTCCTACGTACGCGCATTCAATCTCATCAAAATCGACCCAATGCCCAAGTCTGTCGCTAGGATCCTGGTCAAGATTCTGCCCCGCATGTCCTCATTGGAGCGTCTCATGATTGCTCCAGAAGACATGCTGAAGTCGTACCCCGACCTCCTTCCCGCCTTCGCTGCCATTCAATCTCTCAAGCAGCTAGTGATGGCAAATGTGGGGGAGCGCTCTATCCGGCTGATACAAGCTCTCCAATCCCAGCTTGTCTCCGCGACCCTATACTTCAACAGTAATTCCTCCAGGCAAAACATGTTTATGTCCATAACCTCTCACCCCGTCCAATTGCTGAAGAAGTCTGCCTCCACGCTCCAGCAATTGACTTGCGGACAATGGGTCGATATGCTCCCCGAACTGCTTCTCACAGTCCCGAACATCGTCTATCCCGAGATGCGTAGCCTCACTCTGGCCGAAAATATCTCGCCCAACCCTATTCCCTATATCAGATCGTTCCCTGGACTCACGCACCTCACCATCGAGAGCCACCGCACCGACCATCTGGGTGGCGCTTTCGGAGACTTTTCGTACATCCAACGCCAGTTGAACCTCGCTATGCAAGAACCTGACGATATAGTGCCGTCGAGCTGGCACCACCTAGAGCACTACACCGGTCGCCTCGTCGATCACTGGACCTTTGGCCTTACGTACCACATCCATCGCCTCACACACGAAGACGTGCCAGGACAACGGGCACCCAGCGCGCTGACTGACGTCCTGCAATCCGCACGACCCTCGGAGCTCGTAATCAAGTTTCACGGGAGTCCGTTCAAAGACGTCTTCACGTCGGATTTCCTGGATGCTTTGCGCACCGAGGGCGCGGCCCATATGAAAGGCTTGATAGTCAGCATTGACATAACGGCCGAGGACCGCGAAATCGATGTAGCCCGCACTTTGGTAAGCTCCGTCTCCTCCCTGTTTGTGCGTGGGACTCTGTACTTACAAGACTCCGTAGACCGATTTCGAGACTACCATAGTCGGCCTAAGGCTCCATCATCTCCAGTGTGAAGTGCGCGACGTCGGGCTATCTAACTCAGAGGAGACCCCAAACGAGCCTAGGCCTGCGCCGGGAGCGGTAGCCGGACACTATGTCACCTCCCTCCCTCGTTCCGACACATCTGTGCTTGTCTCCGGTTCCCCCGAGGCGCAGTCGCATGCTTGCGCAGGTTCGGTCGCCGAGGAGTCGCTCTGCACCGCAGAACGCACGCTCGTTGCTTTCGACGTCGAAGCGTTTGCCCACCGCATCATATCTGCTATACCTACTATCACTGGCATGATCATCTCCATTGATACGCCGCGCCAATGCGGCGGGGGCCGGAGGATTGCACTGCTTGGAAGGGAGGAAGAGGAGATCCCAGAGCTGCGTACTGGAGGAGAGATCGTGTACCGGGATTTGAGCATGGCGGATTACAATGCCATGAGGCGTTCGCAGGAGGAAGGACCTCACTGATGTTGAATGGACATCGAAGGGGGAAAGGGGGCGTAGCTCCTCGGGAAATTTACTCCAACTTTCATGGCTGTGAACGAATGTGTACAGTAGCAATATCACGAATGTTATCCCATGTCCGAGCGGGGTTTCTCGCATGCATGCGCCGAGCGGGTCTTAGATGACACCATCATCAACTTCCCCCAGTATACGCCCCTCGTCGTCGCAACGCGAACCCAGTAGTCTATGCGGGAGATATGGCATCCCTACTTCTTCTAGAATCCGCTTGGTCCGTACCGCTACCCACCACCATTGTGTAGCCGCAGCGTGGGTTGACGGTCCGGAACAGGCGGATGGGTACCGAAACCGTGCAGGAGTCAAAGACGTCTTGGGTTGGTACGTTCGAGAGCGATTGAGGTTGAGAGGTCGGTGTTTTCAAGAGTGATTTCTCGCACCACTATAAGTCAACCCCGCCATCGCCCGCTCAGCAAGCACCCCATGTCATCAATATAGCCCCTATGATCTGTCCGAGGCAACATACCTTTCGATTGGCATGGTACCAACGCCCCTAGTCGAAACTCCATCCCACCATCATTGCGGATTGACGAAGACTAGTCTGGTCCGGTGCAGGGGGACGAGAATTGCTCTCGAGCCTGATCATATTGTGCGGGGTCATGAAAACGGGATCCTCCTTCGTAGCTTGACGTTTGATCAGGTTATGACAATGCCTGTAATATGTTGTATGCGTGAGTCTTATCTTTCGTGTAAGCACTCAGTGATCTCAATGGGGAAGGATATTAAAGCAAGCTATTCACCGTCAGGAGTGCCGCGGGGACCCAACCGACACCACCAGGAAGCCGCTCAAACATCCTTCGAACTTAAGACGCACCATTCGAACGACATGTGGCAGAACGTCGCCGTGAACACTTGCGCGGTGTGTATGCCCGTTACGATACCTCTCGCAGGCATCTCGAAACAGCGGCCCTTGTGCAGGTTCCCTTACCCTGGACAACAAAGAATAGTAGCCCGCGGATGTGTACCAGTCCCGTCGCTGCACAAGGAGAGAGACTGCGACGTACAGTGTGCCAACAGGCCATTTGAACTTGCCTCTTCCCCCAAATTCATGGCCCTCGCCGACCGCCAAGTCCGGCCCAAAAGAAAACCAGTCGCGTCGTCGCGCATACAAGCAATGCCATAGTACGACAGTCGTTACAAGTATGCAAGACCCACCTACCGGCGACTGGTCTTACCGACCGAGCTCAAGTCGGTCGCGAGCGCCTCGTACCGCCTTGCTCTTCCCATCATCCATCACTGCTCTCGAGCAATGCGCTCCACTTCAACTTCGCTCGCGAACATCAATATGCACCCATAGCTCTGCGTCCCGTCCACTGCGACAACATCGTTGAAGTCACGCCACGGCCTGGTGCGAAATTGGCGTTCACCAATCGACGATGATCCCGTCAAGACCTCTTGCAAGACCTACACAAACCCACCAGGTTTAACATACGACACGACGTCGCCAACGGACAGACTCATACTTGCTTGTCGATAGGTGAGCATTGCTGTCTTAGTCACTTCGCTTAGTGGCACGGAGACAGTACGCAGAGGAGAACCCGCTTGTCACTGCTGACTGCCACGTCACTCGCGCGCCACCGCAAGATGTTGCTCTATGTTTGCTTTATTACGTCTCTCTCGTTATACTAGATACTGTGTAACTATATATCATCTGCATCCCTACGCCAAACAGGTGTATGAAATTAATTATGAAGTGTACCGCAGACGTCATGAATGGGCTAGACGAACGTAACGCGGCGCAGGTGGGGAATGATGCAGGGGGGCACATGTTGTCATCATGAAGGGACCAGTACGTGAAACAGAGCGACGAGGACAGGGAAACGAACGTGCACGAAAGGATCTCCGGGGGCTCGCGGCCAACAAACGAGGGCAGGATAGCACACTAGTGAGTACGCTCTAGAGGATAAAATGCGGATGTGGGTCAAGACGGGTATGTGCGCGGGGGTGTCACGCGAGGGAAGGAAATGACACCACAAGTTGCTGCTGCCTTCGTCTGATACACGCTGAACGCCGGACCGTGCCGCTCACGCGTCCATTTATGAGGGTCTAGAGGGATGGCGGGCAAGGACATTGCCAGTACGGGCTGCCTGAATGGAGCTGAAGCGCTGAAGTTCCTCGGGCTTCATCGTGATCTTTTGGCCGAAACCGACCTTGCGGGCGGCACGACGGATGAACGACACACGGTTGGAGTAGAGCGACTCGTGAATGGAGGCCGCACGCGAAGTCGTGCGAGTGATGGGAACACCGGTCTCCTTAGCCTGCGCGGCGACCGCAGCGCTGTGACGCGCACGGAGGGACTTGATGATCGTCGCCTTCATCGCAAACTTAATAAGGTCGAGAGGGAAGAACCAGACGATATCCTATAGACAGCGACGTGTCAGCCATGAGGACGACAAAAAGCAACACACAACATAATGAGACTTACCCAAACCCAGACGATACCAATCCAAGCACCAGAGATGGCCTCAATCTTGGTGAAGCCCCAGTTGCCGTACGCCGCGATGATTGACGAGACGAGCTGAGCAATGCAGAACGCACCCATGAGAGCGAACGACGGACGCTCCATGAAGAAGAAGCCGTGCGACCGAGTGATGAAGATGAGGGCCTGCGAGATGATAGCGACCTGGAGGTACACAATAGTGTGGAGCTGAGGGTCGTTGTGGTTGGTCGCCTGGCGTGCGCCACCGGAGAGGGTCGCGCCGAACGTGTCGGCAAACCAAGTCGTGCGGATGGCAATCGCGACGAGGGCGATAGTCGACAATGTGAGGTAGAGACCATAGGCGACAGCGTAGGCGAAGATCTCGGCAAGATCCCAAGAGTCGGGCGAGTTCGAGGGCAACACACGGTCGACAGACAGCGTCATGATGGTACCATCGTTCAAGAGAGCGATGATCAGAACCATGAAGGGCGGGAAGTCGAACTTGAACGCGAAGGCGAGGATGGCGAAGCAGACGACGATACGAATCGTGACGGCGCACGCGTAGATGGCGTAATTCCTCATACGCTGGAAGATGATACGCGAACCACGGATGGCGTGTACGATGGTCGACAGACCCGGCTCCGTCAGGACGATATCGGCAGCCGAACGAGCAGCATCGGTAGCACCCTCGACGGCAATACCGACGTTGGCGCGGGAAAGAGCAGGAGCATCGTTGGCACCATCACCAGTCATGGCGCAAAGGTGGCCGAGAGCCTGGAGACGCTTGACGATCTCGTACTTGTGTTCGGGGAACACACCCGCGAAACCGTCAGCGTCAAGGATCATCTCGTCGAGAGAGCGGAAGCGAGAGCCGGGCTCAGGTCCATCCTTGAGAACCTTGGCGGGGTACATGTGGTCGCCAAGACCGAGACGACGACCGGTCTCCTTCGCGATAGCGAGCTGGTCACCGGTAACCATCTTGACCTTGACACCGAGCGCGAGGGCATCATCGATGGTCTGCTTGGTGTCATCACGAGGGGGGTCGAAGATAGCGAGCAGACCGATGAGCTCGAAACCGTTGCCCTCACCCTCGGGGTCCTCGCCGTCGACTTCCTCGTAGGCAACCGCGAGCGCACGAAGACCACGCGTGGCGAACTCCTCGACATCGGCCTCGAGACGGTTCTCAAGCTCCTCAGTCTTGTTGCGTGTGCAGAGCTCGATGATAATACCAGTCATACCCTTGGTGACGCGCTTCAGTTTACCCGAAGACTCCTCGCGGTAGGTGATCTCAGTACGCTTGTCGACGGGGTTGAACGGCTTGAAATCGAGAAGCTTGATGCCAGCACGAGCGCGGGCCGGGTCACCGATAGCGCCAACGACGCAAGTGTCGATGGCATCTTGGTTCTCGGTACGGGAAGCGTAAGCGGCGAGAAGAACGACATCCTCAGCGGAGAAGGGACCGTAGGTGCGGATGGTGTCGCGGTCAATGGTGAGCTTGTTGGTGGTGAGCGTACCAGTCTTGTCAGAGCAGAGGATGGTGACGGCGGCAAGCTCCTCAATGGCCGTGATACGGGTGACAATGGCCTTGTACTTCGCAAGCTGCTGGGCACCGACGGCGAGCGTGACCGACAAAACCGTAGGCATAGCGATAGGAATACCACCGATCAAGAGCACGAGGATGTTGTCGAGACCGCGACGGTAGTTGTAGCGGAAGCCAGCGTACAAGCAGAAGATCTCTGCGAGGACGAAAATACCGATGACGACCAAGCAGAAGGAACCGATCTGAGCCAAGATCTTCTGCAAGTGACCGGTGGTGTCATCGTCCTGGCCGACGAGGTTGGCGGCACGACCGAAGAAAGTGTTGGGACCGGTGGAGATGACGACACCCTCAGCCTCACCCTGCTTACAGGTAGAGCCGCTGTGAGAACACGAAGTCAACTTATGACATCATTGAGACACAACATGAATTAAACGCACGAGAAACACTGGTCGCCAGTCTTCTTGCTCTGGGGCAGAGACTCGCCGGTAAGAGCAGCTTGGTCGATCGAGACGTTGATGGCCTCGGTGAGACGGCAGTCGGCGGGCACGATGTCACCAATCTTGAACGAGATCATATCACCGGGGACAAGGTTGGCGGACTCGATCTCACGCCACTGGCCAGCGCGCTTGACCTTCGCCTTAGGGGCGAGGGAATCCATGAGCGCCTTGACCGCATTACCGGCGTTACGCTCCTCGTAGAAACCGATGGCCGAGTTGATGAGCAGGAGAGTGACGATACCAACGAAATCCTGCCAATCCGGGGGACGCGACTCGCCGTTGGACAAGGCGATAGCGACGAGGGCGGCGGCTTCCATGACCCAAGAAAGCGGGTTCCACATGAAGCTCAGGAACTAAGCGCGCGAAGAGGTTTGATGAGACCTGTGACGCCGGAAGGGAGCGTAGAGGGAACGCACCTGCAGGAAGGCGTTCTGCTCCTCGCTCTCGAGCTTGTTGGGACCAAAGAGTTCCAAACGACGGGTAGCCTCCTCATCAGTGAGACCGTTCTCGTCGCACTGAAGCAGCTTGAAGACGTCATCGACAACAATCGTCTCGAGGTCGACCTTCTCCTTATCGTAAAGGTCCTCAGCCTTAAGCTGAATCTGGAGGCGACAAGTCAGCATCCGCGCAACGCGCCAATCAGCAAGTTCGGAATATTTACCTGAGACATGTCGACCTTGGCGTCTTGTGGTGGAAACGCGGTCAGGCTGACATCGGGGAAAGGAAACACACGCGAAGACACGTACGAGTCGGCTTGTCATCCTCATCGTGGCCGAAATCCTTGTACTCTCTCTTCTTCTTTTCTGGCTCTTGAGAGGGAGTCTCCGCGGCCGGCGGGTTGGGGCCGGCCTCCTTCTCGACCTGGGGGTCAGACATGGCGGTGAAGGGGTGGACGGGGTGGGGGGAAAACCGGGGGCGGCAACCCTAGACTAAGCTAGAAGCGTTCGCGTGCAAGGGCGACGGAGGGCGGAGCAGCGGAAGGGGAAGAAGAGGTGGAGGAAGGATGAACGGTCGCCAGCAGCCGCCAAGGATTTAAATATCCGTCCTCTCCCAGCTGCCAGATCACGCCAAACACGCGCAAATAGCCCTCCCAGCCTCTGGCGCCGGGCTCTTTGGCGTTGATCCGGGCGAATGTCGCGCATTTGCCCTCCGGAGATGCTATCGGCCGCGCCGTCCGACTCGGCATGCTGCATTTTTCGCGCGTCCCTACTGGCCAGCGTCCGTTGCCGTATGCAGCCCGTGCTGAGTGCGCCCGCTCGGGGCCCCTCGGGTCGATAACGTCCGCGCCGTCCTGCATGAGCCGCGAGTCAGCCGTGCGTTCCATGTCCGACGCCGCCGTCGTTACTAGTCATGCTCGCTGCGTCCGACATGCCCCTCAATCGGACTCGTGTCTACCAGCCTTCCATCTATCGCGAGCCGCCCTAATCGCACGCCATGTTTTGATGTTAGCGATTGCCCTCGCAGCTCGCCTCTTTGAGAACGGGATTTGCGACGTCCCGATCTGGACGCCCGCTGCTGCGACCGAATATCGGCCCAACCACACATGTACAGCGGCGGACGTGTGCGTGGCAGGCGTGCAACAGCCTGGGACTTGGTGGTTGCTACCCGCCAGCCCTCATCAGCTTCTCCCTCGTCAAACCGTGTCCAACATCGTGTCGTGTGCACCCCTACGTGCCCTCGCGCTATATCATTGGCCCCTGCGGAGGCCAATGGGCACACTCCGCCACTGATGACCGCCGTATCGTGAATGATGCATCACCGCGCTATCATCCGTCTGCAGCTTCCCCGCGCACGCACACTTGTGTAGAGTGGCACTGCGCGAACCGAAAGCGATGCTCGATGCTCACCACCTCCTCGATGCCGACGCTGCTTCAAAACACTTCTTCTTGGACCCCAGTCTTGGCCCCGACTACCTGTTCTCCTCTTCACAGCGCTTTACGTCGCGGGCTCTCATGCTGCGAAACAGATACGGAGACGGACACGCGGGTTACCTCTTTCCGCAGGCGTGTCTCCCGTCGGTAATTATGCGGTGACACATACAAACCGTACCGAACTTCTGACCGGCTACTCCAGTGCGCAAGTTTGCTTGCGTCCACGCCCAGCCCTTGGCACACTGGTGTAGATGTGAACACTGTACATAGGCGGCGTTCAGGGCTCTCATCACGCATTCGAAAACACGGAGTGTTATCTGACACGAACCCGAACGCAAGTCCTCTTGATTGGCGCTCTATGTCCGCCCCCCGCACAGAAGTAAAGACCCATCTTCCTATATTCCTCCCCGTAGAGGAATCAAACGCTGAGGCGGCATTGCTATGAAGCAAGGTACGCAAGAACGTGGTGTCCCCACAACTGGCAGCCAAGTGAGCCGGCGGCTGACACCCAGCGACGAGTTCACGGACATCCTGAGCGAATTTGACGGCGCCACCACGCGTACAGTAACCCGCTGCGCAGTCGCCCGATCGGGAGCACGCCCGCCGCCGCCCTCTTTCAGGCTCAAATGTACTGCAAGCCTCTGTGACCGTGTCATGAACTTCGTGTATGGACGTCGCGTGTGGACGTTGTGGCGCAGAATATCGTTTTTTGCACCTCATCTATGCACCTGCCGCTCCTGTCGTCTCGCCATCGCTCCTGGGCCGTCCGCGACCAGTAAATAGGACGTGTAATCCTCCACCTTGCAATAGCTCAGTTCGTTCAAGCGCCATAGGAACGCGCCGTCACATCGGATAGGGACAGCGGTCGGATCGGACCCGGCTTCACAAAGGCACGAAGAAGCCTCCGTCGGCTTCCATTTCCAGAGCGCGCCCACTTCCTGCCATCTCCTGTGCTTTACAAACCTCCTCCTCGATGCCAAACCCACTCGTCCATTCCGCGCTGCGACCGAGTCCAGCCCAGCCTTCCACCTGTACGAGAGCTTCGGAGACGGTCCATCGCTCGGCTAATTTCGCCGGTACGGTCTCCTGTCTGACCGGTCGCGCGCAGTCGGATTGTCCGCACTCCTTTAGCCACACCGGGTCCCTCGTTGACCCGCCCTTCACTACTTGTCAGGTTTGCTCTCCTCCGGTGAAGCACTCAGCTGGATCGTGCTCTCTTTGACTGTGTAAACATAGCCATGCGACCGTCGGTCCGGAAATATGCACAAATAAGGCAAGCCGGTGGCGGACCAAAATGCTCCTTCACAAAACAGAGCAAGCCGCCGGCAGGAAATGAGGGATTGAGACGGATTTGGGAAGGGTTAGGGTGATGTCACTCCACGCTAGCCGGTGATGGGGGCGAGGGCTGAGATTGCGATGCGCGCTTGTCAGCCGCGAGAAGGGAAGCGAGATCTGATTCCACGCGATGCGCATCTGGCCAGCCGAAATGTCGTCCGATGATCTGATCCTCGCCCCTCAGCCACCCGAGGAGTGTCTGGCCGTTTCCAAGCTGACCTCTCCCTCTCGTTGACTGCGGTTGACGAGGACGTATACATGCAGGCGGCTGCAGCTCTTGGCAGTCGTCTTGCTCGCTGTTCAGGCGCGAAACTCTTCGCCCTTCTTTTTCCTCGGAAGACCACAGCCGCCGTGATTGCCAGGATACCGTCCCATGGAGCCCCGTCTTCTATCTTCCCAAGTCAGTACTTTTGAATTTCAACTCACCGGAAAGCGTGACTTCAGCCTCCTCCGTGAACCGAGGGTACTTGTAACATAAGCTGTACATGCTCCATGACACCCTGTCGTCGTCGGAGTGCCAGTGTGCGAACGACATGATCCCCATTCTATTCTATCTCTCGGGTCTCATGTCAAGCGAGCCTTTCGCCAATCGCACATCGCCCGCGCACGGCCTGTGGGTTGACAGGAGTTATCTATCCATCTCTCGCGCTGTAACAGTCAAAGTATACCTCCGGTGCTCCCCATTGGTACTCGTGCAGTAGCCGCCTCTCGGAAGCATTCGCATTCGACGGGCGCATCGCGCGCGCACCGCCCCTCTCCACAGATAGCTCAAACCACACCCATTCGCCGGTCCGCGTTCGTATAAATACACTCGCCCGAGGACGCTCCCAGGTACGCCGTGCGCGGGCACATCTGTCCATTTTCTAGCTCACGTGGACTTCTAGGCTGCATATAGACGGTGTTCATGTCGACGTCATGTCCGCGCATGTCCATTTGTCGTGTGCGTCTGGTATGGCGGCGAGAGAAGCTCGGACTGCGCGTGGGCGCAGTCATGTTCCACCTACCTCATCGCTGCTATAAGCTGACCGTGGCCAGACATGGCCGTGTCGTTTCAAGGGATGCCGAGAGCCACTCGCCTGGGCTCGTACCGGACTCAGTTGGATGGGCCCACAGATCTGTATCCGTATGCGTTTACGCAAGGTCGCGCGCCCACGGAACCTGCGCGTGGTGCCCGAGACGACGCCCCAGGCGTGTGTGGTGGATTCACATAAGTAGCCCACGCAGCCCCCAGCCCGAAAGGCACACCTCTCCTCCAGAAGAGAGTAGAGTCGAGAAGGGTCGCCGATCGTGCGTCATAGAATGCGGAGCGCCAGGTCTCCCCGGTGAACGTCGCACATTCGTTTCGGTTCCTTTGGCTTCCCTCATTCGTATCGCAGACGATTGCCGTCTTCCATGTGTACTCGCAAAGCCCCTGTAGATCCTCGCAGCTCGCTCACCTTCGGGAAGGAGGTTAGTCCAAGCCGTCTCGCATCTCCTTCGTGGTCGCGTGCGCACTCGGGCTCTTCGCTGCTATCTTTGGATATCTTACAGTTCCTTTGCGGCACGGGACTCGAGCTAGCTTCAGAAGCCGCGCGAATCTCGGCCGCAAGCCCGACATGCCCCACGTACCACCGTTTACGGCAAGCCTCGAGGAGGCAACGTTCTGAGGTTCTCGAAGCTGCACATGTGGGTAGACGTAACGCAGCTCGACCGGACTTATCATGTGTGAATGGAGGATGATCATTGGCAACAGCGATACCACTGCTCGGACGGCAGCGGAATCGGGACGGACAGGCACGGGCAGAAGGTGACCACAGAATGAACCTATGTACGCTGTATGCAGGCGACGTCACGGAGGGTATGTGAAGGTTTGCGTATCTACGGGCAGACACTAATCTCTAGCGACGTGCTGGTTTGCAGTCATCCTTGGAGGGCATTGCGTCTCATACATTCGTCCGAGAGCGTTTCTGAATGCGGGATGTGCTCAACGTGGTGTACTTGCGTGAGCTGCAGCGTCCCTGGCCGGTTTGTAAGACACGCACCACCAGGCGTGCTCTGGCTTCGCGGAGCCGAAAGCGAACGCGAAGATAGGACTGACTCATCGCGCCTTACCGACGCGGTCCAGTGAATCCTCCGACTCGGCCAGGATCCATACTGGGTGGTGTTGATGAGAGATACCATATAGAGCGTTGATTGCCTCCCCGGACAGTCCGCATCGGAAGACGGTCGGAGGATGGTGTGGCTGGAAGGTATGACATGCGAGCCCATACGGTCGCAAACCCGCGTGTATGAATGGCCAGACCCACTCACCAGTAGCAAGTGTGGCGAATCAGATACATCGAGTGGTGAGACCGCCCGAATCCTAGACCAGCGCAGATACCAGTACTGAGAGTCGATGTCTCCGAGAGCAGCCTGAAGGAGAATCAAGAGAAATCTGAGGACACTGATCGTCTACTTACTGAAAGTTCCAAAGTTCCACTCGGGACCTCTCGATGCGAAAGCCCGACTGAGCGTGCCTTGCCTCTGGAGACCTCTGTTGATGCCGGTCTTGTTTTTCTCCAAAATTGATTGCCGCAAATACGCCTGCTCGCCACATGGAGGATGCCCAATCGTCGAAGTCTGGAGAACGTGAAGCCGGCCGATGATCGAAGGGAGAGCGACGAGGTCGGCTCGTTGACGAGGCTGCTTACGCAACAGATGGGTCGGCCTTCGGACCGACCGGAACCGGTCGGACGCCGCTTTGAAATTGCCCTGCGCGACGCGCACTGCGCCGAGCTCGCTGCGACGAGGGCCTCCGACGCTGCGTCTTCCGCTGAGCTCTCCGGGACTCTCAGCGTCCTCTTGCGACATCCGGTTCGATCCTGCTCGTTGCTTGGAGCGCCAACGATATCCTTCCTTCACGCACGGTAAGCCGTTGCTGTACTCTCCTTGTCAGAAGCTTTCCGGCTTGCCCCTGGACCGACCACCGCGACCTAGTCCAGCCTGCGTGCGCCACACGCTCTCACTGACACCTCGACCGGTGCACACTTGTCTCTGTCCAGCTGGCTATCCTGGAGACGGAGCCAAATCGGCGTTCATCTGCATGCTCGTCGCTGTCGGGCACATCTCGGGCGACGATCTCGACGATCGCTTATATCATGCAAGCTCAAGGCTTCTGTGCCCTACGCTGGGTTATGCCGGGCTCTGCGGATACTTCATAACCCCACCAAGAAATCGTCGCGATTCGGCCCTTGGACTCCCGTCGACGTTTTCGCGAGCGCCGTCGTGTTGGTCGCGGCCGCTACAGCGGTAGCCGGCGGCAGAAGACGTGCTGAAGGTGAGTACTCATCGGCTTTTGGACTTGGTCGCGGGCTTGGCGTCGCGGGGATAACATCTCCTTTACTTCTGTCGATGCCCGTGGCTTGTCGTGTGTCCTGTCCATTGGCTAGCCAATCAAATGGAAGACTTCGTTGCCATATTCTCGTTATCCGTCCACGTGCGAGCCTCGGCCGAGGTGAAAGCGTTGCCGCATGTCCTATAATTCCCGCTCTTGCACGGCTGGCGCATGGTCACTTCCCGGTCTGTCGATTTGGCAATGTTTGCGACTTCCATGGCGGAGGTATGTGCTTGTGCTGAGGAGAGGCGTGTATGTTTGGTACATTAACGCTATGTACTCGCAACGTACACGCTGGGCAAGCGTCGGTGCGGGACGGTTCCGATGTGCACATTCGCGTCATTTACCCCATTTACCCTGCTTCTTCTGCCTGCGGAGTCCATGCTACTGTACATAGTCCATTTCCAACGTCGCCAAGCCATCTCGTGAATTTGAACGCCTATTCCCTATTGCTTCCCAGATCATTGATATTTGGTGCGCTCCGTCCCCCGACGACGCTGAATGCGGTCAGGTCGTCTCTGATCGGTACATAGCATTGCTCGCGCAGAATTGCTGATGGATGGATCATGAAAGATGGTGGGGTGCATCTGTTCGCAGCAACGCGTCTAGCCGATGAGACCCCGCATCTACACCATCCTGAGAAGGGTGCTGGGGGCGGTGCGTTTTCTGTGCGATTGGCTCCTCGTATACTTGACGTCTTGTGTTCAACGAACGAGGCGGTACGGGTTGCCTCCGAACGAGACAACATGCGATGTGAACGCTGAAATGTCACCTTGGTAGAACAAAGCGTACTCGACGTGTTTATATCTGAAGAAGTTCGTTCAACTCGAGCAGAGCTGCGGTTTACTTCTCCTTCCGTAGAAGCGAGGCGATGCTGTCTAACGAATAGGGGAGTGTTGCAATCAAAGGTAGACCTAGCCTGGCAATCGGCACGCTAATGTCTCAGATATTATCGCCGAAGCATCTGGTCACTATAAGCTGCTTGGGCAGTGGATGAGCAGATGTGTACGCACACTGCTCTATTCTAGACGGCCATGAACTTCGGCCCATTTCGCGAGGAGCATGTCTCGAGCAACCATACGATCCGTTCCCGTGCCGAACCACTCCCGTAGCACCGAAAATCGCACGGCGTGACGTTTGCGGAGCAGAGGTGCGAGCAGTCAACGTTACGCAAAGATCATGTCTAGGGATCGAAATTCTCACTGGATACATTCCTCAGACATAACGTCGTTATGGCGGACATACTCGTACAACAAAATCACGGACAAATCGTTTGGGCCATGAACCGCGCTCGCCAGCGCGGACGGATTTTTGGAACGCTTCGTCTTCTCTCTCCACTAGTGCATCTATGAGCACATCTCTCATCCGACAGTCAAGTCGATGATGAACTCCGGCTCCACCTTGACCTGCAGAACCGCGCCCTTCCTCTTCTTGAATGGATGGCTCTTCCCAGCGCTGATAGAGCCTTCGTTCGCGGCGTCGGTATCGGCGCTGCGCTTCTGCGTCATCGTCATACCCTCGCGCGGCTTTCTAGGCCCCGTGGAAGACGTCGAAGGGCTGTCTTTCTGCGGTGGAGTGGAGATAGAGGTTTTGATATCAGTCATGGGTTTCTTCCCTTTCTCAGCTGCCCGACGGTGTTCGTTGACGTAGCGGCTGATTACTTTTCCCCAGGCAGCAGGCGTCAGCCAGTCGCCCCTAGTTCGCGACTCGAAGGAACAACGTACTAGAAGCGTGTCTTGGGTTGTTCGCGATAGAACTCCAAGCCGGTCCAGATCGCTTGCTGTTCTGTGTGACAAAGGGGAGCACGAGTTGAACGACCATGTACGTCCGCATATCGGTAGACGTACCTGTGGACGGCGGCTGAACGCAATCCACGGGGTTTTCTTGTACTCAAACGTCCCCCATATGGCATCATTCTCGTACCGGTACAGGGCCATGGCACGGAGATCTTCGTCCTTCACCGGCACACAGGTTGTGCGCCCCTTCGATCTGGCCTTGTTGCTCTTTCCGAGGAGAGTATGCGACGCGGCCGTAGGTGATGCCCCATCCTCGTACGGGGATCCTTGGTCGTCGTCGCTCTCTTCCTCTTTCTCGTACTCGTCCGCTCCATCGTTATCGGTCAGGGGACTGCCTCTCAGCTCTTCCTCCCTATCGACTCGCTTGCGGGCATCGATGTACACGCGGTCAGGCTGCTCGGAGTGGTCTCCCCAATGTTTCTTCCATACCTCGGCGGTGCGGTGCGGCAGCTGCGGTAGGCACATAGTCAACGGCATGATATTGCATCAGGGGGTGCAGGTAGGCGTACCTCTACCTCCAGCTCTCGAAAGAGCGTCTCCTTTTTCGGAAGAGGACCCTCTCGCAGGCGCCAGCGCAGCCAGTGCATGAAAAAGATCTTCTCTTCTTTCGTAAATTTGCTCCCGGGCTCGCCCATCACGGCGGGCAAAGGAGGCTTCATTGAGCCATCAGAAGGGGGGATAAGGGTGTCACCGTGGAATCCGTCTGGGATTTCGCCCCTCTTTGGTCTGTGTACGGTAGGCTTTGAGGATGCCCCGTCCTGCGCGCTCGCGGACGCGTTCGTAGTCGCAGGAACTAGCGCCTCTTCAATATGCTTCGAGTTTGCGGAAGGTTTGGCAGCTATTGGAGCCGGTTTCCCGGGATTTCTGCACAACATAGTTAGTTGCGCGGGATGCAAATTTGATCAACGAAACGAGCAAAGTCGTACCGAGCATTTCGAGGCCGCTCATCGTGACGCGTCGATACTGGTGGGCCCCCTGCAAGGCCGGATGGATTGATATCGGGGTTCGATGGCGCAGGATTGGTACCAGGAAATGTTTTGGGATACAGTTTGTCAACGTGAGTGACGAACAACGTCATCCACTCTTTGATATGTTCGTCAGCTTCTCGGGCCAATGACTTATTACGGTGGCGAGAACGTACCTGTCTCACTGCGACCGGTTTTCTGGCGAGGTACATACAATGAGCGACGAATATTCGAGAACAGACCCTTGTATACGCACCTTACTTAGCCCCTCCAGAATCCGCGGCGGTGTCAAGCCATTTTCGATGCCCTTCTTGAAGGCATCGACGAGAGCTTCCTCGTCCGCTGCACCCAGTTCGGCTGGATCTTCTTTCTTGTCCTCTTTCCGCATTGCCTCAAAGAACTCCTGGAGTCGTTGTTGCTGGACCGGAGACAGTACCCCTAATGGGAGCTGCGGAGGCATCGGACCCATCGCCGGATATGGGATCTGCGGCCACTGTTGCGCTGGGTTGTACAGACCTTGTTGTGGCGCAAGCTGCCAATATCCTTGGAATCCTGTGAGTTCCGTTGGATTATCTACGGCGATCCACACGGCTCAACGGTTTACCTTGTGGCTGACTGTAGGGTTGTTGAAGCAGTCCCATCGCTGCGTTGTACAGTATCTGAGAGTAAAAGTTAGGATTCATGAGGAAGGTAGGGCGTCGGTGCGGCCGGGGGGGACGGGGACACGAAGTGAGGGCCGATAACGGGGTAGCGGCCGAAGAAAGGATGGGGAATGTCGACCGAGCATTATCAGTTGTCCAAGTACCTCGCGGCGACTGGCTTCTCAAACTCCATAAAACTTCGCCAATACAGTGGGTCTGAACCTCCCAAAGTCTTCTTCCGGAAATACCGAGTACCATCGAAGCCGTGACCACGGTCGTCTAGCTAGATCCCTTCACGTTAAACGCTCGTGCTGCTTGCAACCACTGCTAGACGGGAACCTCGTGGCATCTGGAACCTATCCGACCTTGACGTACGTCTTTTGTCATTCAACGACAGCATTTATCTGGGTTCGATCAACGTGGGTCAGTGAGTCACCTGAACACCCACCCTCCCTTCCCAGCGGCGTCCACTTCACGGGCCAGGCGTGCGGTGTTAGGAACTAAGGCGAGAGCTCAATTCTTGTCTCATGTACCGAGACATGACGTCCTGCAAAGCAGTCCAAGAGCTGTGGCATGTAAGGAATGTAGGGGGAGTGCGTAATCCAGAGAAGAGAGACCTCGCCAATCGTACATTGATCAAGGCAGAATTCAAGCAAGGTATGCCAATGTAATCCTCTGTAGCATCCGATACAACGGAAATGTCAACTTGGAGCCTCCGTGTTCCACCACCCAGAATATCTTAGTCCACATTCGAAGTTGGCCAACCATGACCGGTCGAGGGCGTCTCACATAGAACCCACAAAACGGGTATCTAAGATCTATCCGCAGCTGAGGATTGTGCCGCCGACTGCTACACGCCGATGGTCAGGTCGATCACATCCTGGTCACTCACGGCCCAGCGGACGTTGATCTCCCTCGACGTTGTTTGAGCCGTTACAGAGGGACCAGATTCGCTCGAAGCCTCCATATGTGCAGGAAGCTTCAGCGTAGCTGGCTCAAGGTCTTGCTTGGGAACTGCCGAGGACGGTGTCGCCGCAGACGTTTGCGGAGGTGGGGCAGGCAGGGCTTGCTTTGACGTGATCGGCTTCTCCCCCTCGGATTCACTGCGGTACTCTTGGACATAGCGATCAATCACTATCCCAGCGACATAAAACTCTTAGCAGAAGTCAACTGCGGACATGAGAATACACATATCGACGCCATGTTTCGGGTTTCGTGCAATATGCTTCCAGGCCGTCAGCGATCGCCGGGCATTCTACCGTTGAGGAAGAGGTGGTGAGCAAGGCCTATCGTGCAATTTAACCGATGCACTCACTTCGGGACGTGTCGCAAAGTCGTCCCACGGAGCGTATTTGTAACGGCTTGTTGCCCACACGGCATCCTTCTCGAATTTGTATCGCGCCATGGCGCGAAGGTCCGTGTCGGTCACAGGCAAGCTCGGAGATCGCTTGCTTTTGCTCTCGGAACTGGAGGACGGAGTGGCCACAGGCTTCGCTTCTCCTTTGTCAATCAGCGGTCTTCCGTCCTCGCGTAGGTTCTGCTCTTCCTCGTCAGAGTTGGCATCGCTGAGCTCCGCCAACGAGGTAAGCGACCCTCGCGTGGCGTCTGGCCTTTCAGCACGCTTTCGGGCCGCAATGTAGACAGCGTTGGGAGCGTCGGGATTTTCGGCCCAGAACCGCTTCCACGTATCAGCCGTACGTTTCGGTAACTACGGAGACAAAGTAGTGAGCGTTGTTCTAAGAATCCGGGCAATCTTTCATACTTCTCTTTCGAGCTCCTTGAAGAGGGTCTCTTTGTCGGGGAGCCCCTCCTCTCGAAGCCTCCAGTGCAGCCAATGAATGAAGAAGACTTTCTCTTCCTGCGTGAACCTAGTCCCAGGCTCACCAAGCCGCGTTGGGTAAGGAGGCTTCTCGGAGCCGTCAAAAGGAGGGATCCTGATCTCGCCGTAAAAGATGCCTGCTGTGCGTTCGCTCTTGATTTTGTTGGAAGAGAAGGCGACCGGGGTGGAGGGCGAGCAGATCCGTGCCTCCGTGGGTGCCTTCGTAGTGGGCTGTGCGCGGTCACCGGATTCAAGGGGAGGTTTCGAGCTTGTAAAGCTCGTGCGAGCTGCAGACGCTGATGCTTGACTTCAAGACGGTAGCGGTTGGTAAGTTACAGAGCGTTCTAGATTCGTTTAGAGCAAGGCCATACCCAGCATCTTGAGGCTGTTGACCTGTCGGCTCGGAGGCGGACGGGTGGTTCTCGGATCCGGCAGGACGACCGACAAGAGAGGGCGCAGGAACGGCATCGGGAAACACTTTAGGATACAGCTTCTTGACATGAGCGACAAAAATCTTCATCCATTCTTTGAATTGCTCGTCAGCCTGTTGTCGCATTTCAATACATGGAGCAGGAGCTTACCTATGTCGCTATGCTGGTTCTTCTGGGTATGATCATATGATTAGCATGGGGTTTTGAGCGCGAATCTTTTGGGTGCGTACGTTGTTCACTTCCTGGAAGACTTGCAACGACGTCAAGCCGTGTTCCATCCCCTTCTTGAACGCCTCAACAAGAGTGATTTCGTCATCAACGCTCAACTCTGGTTCTAGAGGGTTTCCTTCTTCCTTTACCACTCTATGCGTCGCCTGTAGGAAATCCTGGAACCATGATTGCTGAGCCAGAGCCGGAACGTGGAATCCTTGTGGGTATCGTGGCACGAAAGGGCCCATCGCCGCCAAGGCTGGAGGGAGCAGCCATGGTTGCAATGGGTTGTACGGACTCTGCTGCGGCAACAGCTGCCAACATCCGGCGAGTCCTTGTTGCGGAGCTGCGGCCATCCGCTGGGCCAGTTGACCTGGCGGATAATAATACATATGGTGAAGCGCAAATACTACCGCATTGTGGAGCATCGGAGAGTACGAGTCGGGATTCATGATGAAAGCTTGGACGTTGATGTGGCAAGACACAGAGGACAGCCCTGTAATGAACAAGTCGATGGCGGACGGGGGGAGCAGGGAAAAATATCAACTGACCGCACGCGGTTCAAGTACCCACGGCGACTGGCTTCTTGATGAAAGTCGCGAATACGATGGTCCTCTAGATTCCTCTACTCTAAACGCTCGTGACTGCGCGAACATTATCCTGTTTGCAGCTAGAGGAAGTTGTACGGCTAATGCAGCCAGTGCACCAGACTTACAACACCATGTGCACGTTGGTTGAAGACTTTTTTGTGTCCAGTTCCAGTACATGCTACATCCTGGATAGCGACAGAGATGTGAGTTCGTGCTGATATAAGTAATAGAACCGGGCGAAGGCCAAGACAGCACTTATCCATATGACACGGGTTGGTAAGGTCATTCCCTCCCCAGTCTACTCCCAGAGTTGTCGATACCAGATCAACGCTAGATCACAGCAAAATGTACGACAGAGAGCATGGAAATTGGATACCATCCAATTACAAGCAGTGAATGTATGAACAATATGTGAGCTAATAAAAACATGTTGAAAGCGAGGCATTTGTGAGAATTGAGTGTTGGTATGAGAGTTTGAGAGAGCGAGACGTTCTACAGGTGGTTGATGTCGAGGACGTCGGTTATAGATATCCGTTCCAATCCGGAAAAAGGATCAAAGGACAGACGTGTGGAGGCAACAATGGGAGAGAGGTCGCCAAAGAGGGGGCAAAGGGGAGAAGCATAACACCACGGCCGTCCAAGCATCTGACTAAAATACAAGTAATGTCAGTAAATGTCGCGCGAGGACAGGCGCTCGCAGTAGTAACATTTGATAAGGCGACACTATAGTGCCTCGCCCATCTGCTGGCGTGAGCCGAAAGTCGCTTGGCTAGCTTCCCGCACCAGCTCAGGGCGCGGGACATCCCGCTCCTCGACTTGCGAGTCGCGCGAAGGCTCCCCGTAGTAAGCGTTAAGTATAGATAGGTGACTGGCAGTGATAAGGGAAGGTGGCGCTGGGAAGTCGGAAAGACGCGACATGCCCGAGGTATTCGTCATGAAGCTCGAGCGCGTCGCGTCAGAGGAGAGGGGGACACCGAGACTGGACCGTCCAGACATGGCACGCCGAGAACGAGTATCCATCGGGCTAAGCTGCGCGTCGTCGTAGTCCATCTCGGTGAGGTGCGTCGAGAACCGCTGAGGCTGTGCGTACACGGAAGGTGTTGAGACTGCTTCGACCTCGCCGACGCGCATAACTGGCACACAATGTTTGATCAGTGGGCACAAGCGTGGTCAGGCCTGATCGACTTACGGAAAGCGTTGTCCTCGAGCGGCATCTCCAACATAGAGGAAGCGCGGGAAGACTCGACGTCGGCAGGAACGACATCCATAGGCTGCGAGAGCACCATTTCTTCATCGAGAGGCAGCCGCAGAGGTGACTGCATATCATCGCGTCGGTATCCTGAGCGCGACGACGACTGCGAGAGCACCTCTGGCGGCTCAGGCCCAAGGTCGTCTGGACGGACTCCTGCCAGTCCACCGTACCGCGTTCCCCACATCGGTGAAACCCGGTCGATCTCTTCCAAGGCGGCCTCGTCGTCCTGCATCTCTCCGATGTTCACACTGAGTTGGCGGGCAAGATTCGTAAGGCCACTCAAGCTGCGCGTACTGCGCGAGTTGAGCTCGATCTGAATGCTGCCGCTCTCGTTACGCGAGATTGGCGGGCGCTCGTCGGATGGCGTCCCGCTCTCGGGCTTGTAAAACAAGTCCTTGAACTCCTGCAGATCATTACTTTGGAATAGGTGCGGGGACAGCGGCGGCGAGGACTGTGCCGAGACAACGCCAGGTGATGAGCGGGTCGAATTGAAGCTCCGCTCGCCCGTGGAATTATCCTTGCGCCGGAACAACAGCGGGTTAACATGTTCCATAGGAGACGAAGCGAGCGTGTGGTTGGACTGCGAAGACACTCCGGTACGCTCACGAGCCATTCGTGGACGGCTGCTAGAGCCAAAAGCCTCGTCAGGACGGATATCCTCCTCCCCGATGTCCTCCTGATCAGGGCTAATAACGAGTTCGTCAGAGTCGTCCAGTACATCCTTGAACGCCAGACGCTCTGGCTCGTCCTCACGCGAAGGGACCCTTGGTATGGGAGGCATGTCGTGCGCCTCGCTCGTCCCGAGCCCGCTGTCCTCGCTGGCTCTCCGTGTCATCGTGTAGTTGAGGGCATCTGCGAAACCCCATTCACTAGTGCGTTTCGATGGTGGCCCATACGGATGCGCGGTGAGCGCTCCGGAAGCAGTAGCGAATTCGGTGAGCCGGACAGGAGGGGTGGAGATAAAGGGGGAGTACTGGATCTCGTCGGGCATGATTTCCCGAATCGTGCCAGGGCTAAGCTCTGCGAACATGCTCGACTGCGGCGAACGACTCTCCGGGTTTCTGCTCGGCTGCTGCTTACCAGCGGTAGTGGGCTGCGCACTGTGGCCGGGGTCGGTGCCTGTGACGGCGGCGAATGGATGTTGGACCTGTGTGTATGGGGAGTACGGGTGGACCTTGACGGGCTGGCGGTGCTTCGTGATGCTGTCATCGGCGGCGGAGCCTGTGGGACTCGGTGATGCACCTTCGTACTGAGCTGCACGCACGTTCGTCTGGATCGGAGCCCTACCCACTGCACGCTGGTAGTACGGATGCGAACCGCTTCCCTGAGCGTAGGGATGTGCAGGTATCCTGATAGGTTCCTTCTCGAAAGTCTCCTGAGCGGGTGGCGTGCGTTGTGGCGTGGAGATGGCAATACCCACGCCCTCCGCAGACGTAGACATACCAGAAGGCGTGGGAGAGGCCCCATTAGCACCTCCTGGACCGAGTCGACTGGAGAATGTTGTATGTGTATTGTTCGAGTCTGGCGGAGGCGTAATGACGACGATACCACCGTCGTATTGAACCTTCTCTCGCGCAACCTGGTCGCGAAGATGAATGACCTTGGTACCATCGTGCCGAAGCGCCTCCTCCATCGCCGCCGCCTTGTCATTCAGCGGTGGGCGGCCCTTCCCCTTCGCGTCATCGTTCTCGGACCCGTTGACGCCGCACAGTCCTGCAGCCGTTGTCGCGGTTGCACGCACGATATTGAGAGCAGACTTGCCTAAAGAGCGATTCCGGCCATGTCCGGGAGTCCACAAGAAGGACTCCTCCGAGCGCGTCTGAGAGATAGTGCCCAGCGAGTTGGAGTGGCCATGGTGCGAGCGCGACTTCGTCTGCGCATAGGACGCCGATGTGTATGTCCCCAACGCAGTGCCCGTCCCAGTTCCGGTGATAGTGTTAGTCCCGACCCCGCTCGATGACCCATGCCCATCCGACCGTGGGGGTTTGACGCGCACATGCACGGTCGGACGCCGCCTTTGGCTCCCGAGCAACGTCGCTTCCGTTAAGCTATCGAACGCGCTCGGATGCTTGGCGTGCGGCGCCGCCCGCGATCCGATGGACTTTGAGCGGGCACGCGAGATCGTGCCTGCGCGCCGGTCGAGCGACTTGACGGCCTTCAGCTGCCATGCCTTCCGGTCCTCCTCGAGCTGGCGACCCTCCTCGAGGACCCTGCAGATAGCGTGAGTATGTCAGCGCACTGTGCCAATTCGCCTTCCACTTGCAGAGCTCTTGCTGACGTCGGGGGAGACGTGCGCGCGTGGATGGGGGAAGTGGAGAAAGCTTACTTGGATAGGGACGGCACTGGGCTGGGGAGTGCCAGGTCGTCGAGAGCCCAACTCTTTGGACGGTACGGCTTCAGGTGTGTGTCCTTCTTATTCGATGTAGACGGGGGTGGGGGCGGAACTGGTTGTGCTTGTGGCGCAGTCGAAGGCCCGCCTCGCGGCGGCTCTTTCCTGATGGGCGGCGGTGCGCGGAGTGGAGAGGGTGGCGGGGGACGAGAGCTGAGCTGGATGGCCGAGTGCGACTTCTTCAGCGATTTGGGTGGTGCCGTGGGGGTCCTCCCCGGCGTAGGCTCTGTGCCTGGCAACCACATCGGACTCGGAGGGGGACTCACGACACGACCACTCCCTCCCTCCCCGTCAATCATCTTCAACGTAAACCTTGGCCGTGGAAGGATCAGGGCGTCGCACCACGTCTCAGCTGAGAGCCATCGTTGTTTGCCTTTGGAGAGCACAGAGCCTGTCCCTGTCGCTGCACGCAGATTAGGGGTGGACATGGAGGCCTTCAGGCTTAGTCTTGAAGGTCGACTGGCGGGGAGGAGGTACGCCGGTGCGGTCGGCTTGTGCGGGTCCAGCAGCTGAACGCTAAATTTTGTGGTCTTTCCTCGAGGAGATATGGCGGCAGGACTGGAAGTCAAGACCTGAGAAGCGAGGGGAGCAGGCGTCGCGTAGGCATAGGGATGGAGACGGATGGAGAAGCCTGAGGCAGTCCCGCCGCCAGAAGGATGCAGGGCCTGAGACTGGGAATGCGAAGCTGATGATCCTTCCTGTCTCCCTATGGCATCCTGACCTTGTTGTGTGTACGGCATCGAGTGCGCAGGGGCGTCGTCCCTCTCCCGACCCCTCAACGTACCCGTGGACGATGAGTGGTGCAGCTGCCGCTGCGACGCGGCGGCGGCGGTCTTGTGCTTGCCGAACGAGAGGATGCTTGCGAAGCTCGCGCGGTGCTGGATGGGGGCTTCCTGCGACCGCCGCGGCCGCGCAGGCACGGGCACATCCCCGATACCCCCCGCGGCGTCGGGCCTGGTACCCGCCACCTGGGCGCGTAGGCTCTTGCGGTCGTGCTCGTCTGCTGTCATCCGCGATGCGTTCGACATGGCCCTGATCCGTGGCGGGAGTTGTCCGGGCGCGTGTCCAGTCCTGCCGCCGTCGCTCTCCATGAGCCACCCGCTGACGAGGTGGCCCCAGCTGTCGGTGTTGCGCTCGTCCCTCGGGGGCTCGTAGGGGCCGTTGTAGGGGATGTACCAGTCTTCAGTTTGAGCATTTGGAGAGAGCGGAGATGAAGTGGTTGGTCTGAACGGGAATGCGAGACGGGATAGACGGGAAAAGGGAGAGGACGGCTGCGCCTGGGTAGACATGGCATAAGGAGTGGAATCCCAGCGGCGCAGAGGCGGACGGGAACGTGGGGGGCAGCGAGCTCGTCGTAGATGACGGGGAGCAGTTTTGTGGGGGATTCTGTGTCGGTAAGTTCACATCAGGTTGGGGATAACCTGTTATCATATAAGCACCGCCCAAATGATCACAAGAAAACTGTCTTGTTCCACTGCCATCTGATCGTCGAACTACTCAGGCACTCAAGCAAGTCATCATCGCGAGGTCAGAGCGTGGTCTTTACAGTGGGATATAAGGGAATATGCGGGAGGAGGATGTGCCAGCAGCAGCAATTCGGAAAACCGCTACGTTATTCTCCCTCCCAATGTGGAACAAGCCGCTATCCACATTTGGCCTCACAAACGACTGTTCGCAGTGCCGCTTGGAGTCCATAAGGTCATCGGACGATTTACTCGACAGATGTGATAATTTGTGATCCATAACGTTGCAGCGCAGATCTGAGGGAGAACAGTGTGCTTCGGGCCCCTGTGGAGGCGTACTACCCAAGGAGTTCGATCAAAATATATCGGCGGACTCATTCTGGCCACATTGGAACTCGGACGGTTCGTACTCATATTCATGGCGCATGAAGGATTACAGGCTTTGCTGGATGGGTAGGGTTGGGACATATATACAAAGTTTCTTGGAGCTTGTACGTAGGTATCGCTGTTTCAGTTACCTATGCTGAGCCGCACGCGTCTCCAGCATTCTATGTAGATACTCGATGATCTTGGATGCTGCACTTCTTATCTAAGTGATTGGGTCAAGGAATGATGCTGGATCACTGAGTTGTGATATGCTCTGATGACCTCTCGACATTGACATTGATCAGCCACAATACGTACATCATTGGCACCACATCATTGTGGGCACGGTCAGGCACCTACTAGACCAGCCTTTATGGGAAGAAAGTATTCTAGACTCTAGAGCACCGCCGCATGAGATCAAGCCGAACAAGTCAAGCAACTTGTTTCAGCCAAGGTCCTTCGTGACCTTGTGCGTATCCTTGCCATCTTGACGTTGTTGAGGTGTGCCTGTGGAATCGTATCCGCGAGAGGTTTCCTCGATATCAGCCTCTCAACGACTGGAAGCTCCTGATGCTCGGTCCGACGGGCGAAAAGGTACATGAAGACCAGATCAGAGTGTAGTTACAAGGGCGATGACCCCCCGAAACGGTAATCGAAAACGCGAAGAGAGTTCTAGATTCGCCAAGAGGTGTAAACGGGGTACGCTTTTGGTCTTGTGCATAGTTGTGCCAACGAGCTCACATCCGTCGGGGTCCTGTAGATGAAGCCTCGCCCTGCAAACGTCTACGTTCGTGCGATCCCAAACAGCGAATACTCCCTCACGCTGTTTCCCCCCAACAAGCTTGCGTGGGAGTCACCTGTGCAGACTTCGTGGTCACGAAGACAGACGAGGGTGTACGAAGTTGCCCTCCAGACTTCGAGCTTTGGTCCGTGCCCGTTTCGTCGTGTGATCCGCCCATCATTCAAAGGCTTTGTCTACTAGAAAAAATTGTGGCATCTGCGAGGAGAAGTTGACAGCAAGAAAGCCGCGGGTCTGTGACGTTCGTCCTGAGCGATGGATGGACGTACATCCTGAGGCGACCCAGGCAGCCGAATGTCCGCTCTACGACTCCTTGTCGTGCCGCCGCAGACACAGCCGCCCCCTCCAATTACCATGTTATGAACTCGACTCTCCCAGCCGCAATTAGCGAATCTAGTACTCGAGTACCTTCCCTAGCCATGTTTAGGTCATCAGCAGTATGACGTTGTACCAAGATGCGACCTATTAGTTGGACCAGTTACACAGATCTGTTATCTCACTAGCTCTGAGATTCAGCAGAAATCGTTGGATCCGGTAGAGTATACGTCAAGATCATAGGATACTCTCAGGGCGCGTGAACACGCAGAGCTAACGCAAATGTTTGGCCTTGACGTCCTCCAACAGCCCTTCAGGGGACGCTAACCTCGATGTGGTGTCCTTCCGACAGTAGTCTGGTCACAAGTGTGTGTTGGCCTGCAAGTGAACTCCCTAAAGCATAGCTTGTGTAGACGGTATATCAGTAGTGGCACATATCGTTATGAGTGGCAGGAGCCCGCAAAACAAAGACGCGGCGCGTCGTGAGCGCCACGTGATCGTGATCGTGGACGTGGCACTGGTATGACAGGCGCCCATGAACGAGGCCGAGGGCTTGGCCGGCGCTCGTTCTGTAACTGCTACTGCTTCTCCTCCCGCCCTGCTACCATATACCTCTGCTTTGTGCTCTGTATTCTCCGGATATATAGAGGTGCTACTGCTGCGGCTTGGTACACTAAGCTTGCTCCATGATCGGGGCCTTGTTTCCTCTCCTGGCATGGCCTATTCTTCGCACATCTGCTCAGGCCGGGAAACCCCCTGTAAACGTTGAACTCAGGACATCGTGGCCGGCGACTCCCATACTACTTGAAAGCTTGTGAGTGCTTTGTACTTGACTCGGTGATGTCTATGTGTGCTATTGCACTGGCGTTGGGTTATGACCATGAAGGGGGCTTGTCCGTGCCAGAAGTCATCCACCCGTCCGAAATTACTGCATGCAATGGAGGGTGCAAACGCTCGTGCATATAGCGATGGCTGCTAATGTCCCACTGATCTCATACATAACATGCAAACGAACTCACATTCTACAACAGAGAGGCTGTGGCCATAGAGGACCTATCGTCTTTCTTTCCAGTCCTAGATGCCGTAACAGACCCCTCGGTTTTTCCTCTCCCCGCGGACAGGTCCTCGCCCGAGCATGCGCACAAGCATGTCTTGAATGTCGCGCTCGCCCTGGACCATCTGGCCTCTCCTGGCGCGTACGTTGCAGCGGAGATGCACCTCGCTCTGCACTCGGCAAGCCCGAAGCTCGAAGCTTTCTACCAGTATTATAATGATCACCATGCCCCGAGGAAGGAGGCGTCCGGGAAAAACGACGATGAGTGCGGCTCTTGGGTAGACTGGTACGGAGAGGTTGTGTGCGACTCGAAGACCCTGGCGAGGCTGGTAGAGACGGAGACCCTAGAGCCCGAGGAAGGGAGCGAGAACGTGTATGTTCCCCTCCGCATACCTTTTGTTACGGCTTCTGACTTCGGCGATCACATCAGTACCTCTTCCGCTCCGCCTTCGTCGCCTAAACTACTGCCTTTCGACCATGTCCTCCCCGACCCCACCCGTCTCCTCCATCACCCACCCCAGACGGCCATCCTCTACGCCGCGCTCGACTCTCCCAACTTCCGAGAGCTCCACGCATACCTCTACACCGCTGCGCAAGGCCCGTCTCCACACATCACGTACGTCTTCCGCCCTATGCCCCCGGTACACCGCAACGCGAGCGAGCGGACGTACCTCTCTGGTTATGGCGTCGCGCTGGACCTCAAGAAAATGGACTACCTCGCGGTGGATGACCGCCTGCAATCCGGGAGCACCCAAGACGACGACTCGGGCGCCGCGGTCCACGTCGAAGAGGTCGACCCGATCGTTACGCTCTTGCAGCAGTACCCTATCGACGATGGCGTAGACGTTACGCTTCCTCTCACGGAGGCCGAGCTTCTCGGTATGCACGCTTTCATTCCACCCGCCTATTCGTACTAGCTCATTCGCGCGCCACAGATATCGACATCCAAGCCGCCCAGCTCGTCTACGACGCACCGCTCGCGGACAAACTGACCACGCTCAAGCACCTCTGCCAGAACTTCCCGCGCTACGCGGGCGCGCTCGCGCGCCGCGTCCCCATCCAAGAGGATCTCCTGGAAGAAATCGCCGCGAACCAGCCCCGCGCGCGCGGCGGGCTGAACGCTGTGTGGCTCAATGGCGTCCCGCTCGAGGAGAAGGACTTGAACCCGTGGGGGCTTCTCCGGCTCATGCGGAGAGAGCGTAAGGTGGTGGGGGAACTGATGGCGTTGGGGTTGACGAGTGAAGAGAGTATCGAGCTGCTGACCCACGCGAAGATCGCGAAGGCGCAGACGGAAGGCGGGGCGCTGGACGGACTTTTTGATGCCAGTGACCGCGCGGAAGGTGGTGGTGTCATTTCGTGGTTCAACGATTTTGAGAAGGACGAGCGGTGAGTACGCGAATTGTTGCGTGTATGTTTGAGCGCGACCTCATGGCTATTCAACGCTCAGCTACGCGCGCTGGGGCGGAAGCCTCAAAATCGTTAGTACCCTCTCCTTTCCCCGTATTCGCGCGTGCATGGCTGCGTATTGACTCCGGACGGCGTTATACAGCTTCTTCGCCAGATGTACCCCGGCCAGTTCCCGGCACTCAAGTTCAACATGTTTAACATCGTCTTGGCCGTCGACCTTTCCCAGCTGAGCAGTGTCGACTTCCTCGCGACGACTGTTCAGGCGCTCATCAATCGCGGTCTGCCTTTCCGCTGGGGTATTGCCCCTATAGTGGAGACTGAGGATGGTGCGTTCCCTCATCAAGTTCCTGTGCTGCGTTCTGCGCTCTACGTGTGTAAGGCTACGAAAAAGATACTGATCATTGCGATGGGCGCGCGTAGGTGCGCGCATGGCGCGACTGTTCTACTACCTGAGGGAGAATTTCGGTCCGCAGGAGACATTTGGATTCTTCTACAACGTGCGTCTTCCCCTCTATATTCTGTGCAATTTCTGAGTAACCGCCAATCATACTCTAGATCGCCCAGCGCGACCAGGCTTTCGAGACCCTCCGACCATCAGTCGACTGGCCGAACGTTCGGTCCGTCTTCAAGGCGCTCCTGGCACGCCAAGAGGAACTTCCCGAAGGCCTTGAGACGGACCTCGACACGATCCTGGAAGGCACCGAGGGAGACTTGGACAAGCAGCGCGCATACGCCGCCAGGTTGAGCACGAAGCTCTCCGAAGCACCACAGGGACACGTGTTCTTCAATGGGAAGCACTTCGATCTTGACGACGTATGCAGCCCCCTTCTTCCCTTCATTATTATATGGAGAAACGGACGGACAGACGAGCTGACGACGGGCGGTCGCGCTGACAGGACTTCCTCCGGTACCTTCAGACCGAAGCGTCTGAACATCTGCAGCATCTCCAGCTCAAGGTGTACAGGGGCGAGCTGACGGACGAAGACGACGCGGAGAGCATCTCGACGTACTTCTACGACCTTCCGACGACCGCGAAGCGGCGGAACATGTATGTCCACCCGTCGACAGCGGTGGGCGGCTTGAGGATATTGAGCCTTCCAGAGTTTGTTGAGAGTAATGGGCTGGAGAGCAAGCCAGGCGCGTTCGCCTATCCTGGCGAGTAGTCAGCTGGTCTGTAGAGACGACAGGGATGCTAACTTAGCTTCATAGAGGATTCGGAACAGGTCCTGCTCACAACATATATCGTCGCTGACTTCGACAGCGAGGAGAGTAGGGGACTCATCAAGGAGGCATTGTTGTCGATGGTGCGCAGAGTCTCTTGGAAAGCGCCTGATATGTCCGGAACTGAATAAAGTCTTGTGCAGACCCCGGGTTCGCTCAGCCGTCTCTCCTTCATACACAATCCCGCGACAGTCTCTCCGTTCGCCAAGTCCGACAAATTCGCAAGCCCTTCACGGTTCCTCGCCGAGCTTGTCACGCGAGGCCTCCTCTCCAAAATGACCCCCGAGCGCCTTCTCAATGCCCTTGGGCTCGGCGACCCGGAGGTGTCGGTTGACTACGAGAAGCAGGAGCCGTACTTCAACGAGCTGACGGGGAGCAAGGTATTTTCTGGAGAGGAGTACTCTAAGTACTTGAATGCATGCAGGCTTGCAGCACGGCAGTTGGAATTACGGCCTGGCGAGCAGGCAGTCATTGTCAACGGACGGGTGCGCCTTCACTGGCATACAACTTGGTAGAGATGGTGTATTGACACTTTTTGGGCATGTGTCAGGTTGTTGGGCCCATCAAACCCGGAGAGTTCGTCGCCGGCGATTTTGAGACCCTCGCGGCGTACGAGAACAACAAGCGCGTCCAACCCGCCTACGAAGCCCTACTCGACGTCCACGAGTCTCTCGGGAACGCAGCGAAGTATGCATCGCAGTGGGTACGGTGTTGACCTCCTACTGATCTCGAACCGTAGGGAGGATTTAGCCGAGTTGGTTTCGATCGTGTCTTCGATCGTTTCCTCCATCCAGCAGCCAGACCCGAGTGAAGCCGGGTTGTTCAATGCACCTCAGAGGCCGCGCCTCCGGAGCTACCAGATGCTCGGTGGCACCTACACGTACGCTTGCGTACCGAATATGAACATCTTCTCAGGCTGACCTCTGGCACAGATCGTTTTCGGTCGGAGACAACTCCACTGCGATCTACCACTTCGGCGTCCTAGTCGACCCCATTAGCTCGGCTGCACAGAAGTGGACGAGCTTGTTTGAGGTAATTTACTCCTTCAAACGACCCACGCTTGAGATGGCTAATGAGCTTTCTATAGTGGCTGCAGGAGATACCGGGTGTCTACATCGAGTTTCATGTCAACCCGACGAGGTTCCATGAGGTATGGTCTCATGCACTTTGACCATGCTACAACCCCTAAATATGTTCCGCCAGCTGCCATTGAAGCGTTTCTACAGGTACAACCTCTCACCCCGACTAACATTCGACGAGCATGGGTAGGCAGTCTCCGTTTCAGAAATATTCACAGAGGCTGAAACCCTGCAGAAACGAGGTGCACGCGAAAACGCAGTTCACTCAGTTGCCAGTCGAGCCCATCTACACCCTCGCCATGGACACTCCCCAGTCCTGGTTGATCCGCCCTAAGGAGGCGCGGTACGATCTCGACAACATACAACTCAGCAAGCTCTCCGCACAGGATCGCGTCTCGGGCCTTAAGGCGGTCTTCGACCTCGACTATCTTGTTGTCGAAGGGCACGCGCGTGAAAGCGCGACCAATGCCCCGCCGCGTGGATTGCAGATGCAGCTCGTCACAAGCAACTCCACGCCCATCGCAGACACGCTTGTCATGGCGAACCTCGGCTACGTGCAATTTAAGACAAAACCCGGCGTATACAGGCTTGAGATTCGTCCAGGTCGTGGACGAGAAATCTTTCTGATGGAGAGCGTGGGCAATGAGGGGTGGACCAGTCCGACTGTGGACGAGGCCGGTGACGAAGTTACTGTTACCAGTTTCGAGGGCGTCACGCTCTACCCGCGGCTGGCGAGATTGCCTGGGAAGGAGAGGGAGGACGTACTGCAGGCAACCAGCTCACAGACCAAAGAACAGGGGGTAGTGGAGAACCTAATGGCCAAGTAGGTGCCTGCATGCCTCGTAGTGGAACATCCTCTGACTGTCTGTAGAGTCTCGTCTCTGTTCGGCTCCAAGCATAAAGAGGAGGCGGCGGTTGCGCCGGTTGACGATGGCCAGGCCGATATCAACATCTTCACAGTCGCATCGGGCCACTTATACGAGGCAGGCAGTTTCCCTTCACGTGTAGAGCTTTCGTCCTGACTCGGCCGGCAACAGCGCTTCGCATCCATTATGATTCTCAGCGTCCTCCGTCACACCAAGAGCAGTGTCAAGTTTTGGTTCATCGAAAACTTCCTGTCGCCTGATTTCTTGGTATGGATCGTAAGCTCCTTCCCCGATGACGATGTCCGCTCATCCGGTCAATAGGAATTCCTTCCTCACTTCGCCGCTGAGTATGGTTTCCAGTACGAGCTGATCACGTACAAATGGCCTTCCTGGCTTCGCGCCCAGATAGAGAAGCAACGTATCATTTGGGCTTACAAGATCCTGTTCCTTGACGTCCTTTTCCCCATGGACCTCAAGAAGGTTATTTTCGTCGACGCCGATCAGATCGTACGGGCAGACTTGAAGGAGCTCGTAGATCTGGATTTGCATGGCGCGCCGTACGGATACACTCCGATGGGAGATGACAATCCGGATACCGAAGGCTTCCGGTTCTGGAAGACGGGCTATTGGAAGGACTTCTTACGCGGTCTGCCATATCACATCAGGTTGATCTGCTTGGTTTCCGCTATCCACCCACGTCAGCTCATCAAGCGGTAGTGCTCTTTATGTCGTCGACCTCGTGCGGTTCCGTGAAGTAAGTAGCATCCTTGTCCGAACGGAACCACTAGATTCACTGTGCTGACGTTCATTCCCAGATCGCGGCTGGAGTCAGTTTCCTTCAAGATTGGTGCCGAGTGCAAGGAAAATTGACATTGCATCACAGGATATACTGCGTGGACATTATCAACAGCTGTCCGCCGACCCTAACTCACTTGCTAACCTCGACCAAGGTACGAACAGCCTTCATTTCGATGAATATGGGTATTGAGTGCCGCGCAGATCTTCCGAATAACCTCCAGCGTGAGGTACCGATCGTGAGTAGCGTGGCCCTCTCGAAGTTGACCGAATGCTGACATATCGCAGTACTCTCTTCCGGAAGACTGGCTATGGGTAAGTGTCGTGTGTGTTGTCAAAGTCACGCGTTTTTGACATATTCTGGGCTCGTCAAGTGTGAAACATGGTGTATGTGAAGTATTTCCGTCATTTGAGACGTGCTCACGGTGGCCCTTATAGGTAGCAAGGACCGCCTCCATCGTGCCAAGACCATTGATCTATGTCAGAACCCTCTCACGGTACGACCTGTTCGGCTCATGTTCCGAGGCATCATCGCTGACTATGCCTCGCTGCAGAAAGAGCCCAAGCTGGATAGAGCGCGTCAAATTCCTGAATGGGAAGTATATGACAACGAGATCGGCGCCTTCGCGCGCAGGCTTCGGTCAGGTCAAGGGGGCAGCGAGGACACCCAAGACACCCTTATTAAAGACACTCCGAAACATGTCAAGCATGAGGAGCTTTAACGCTTCACATAGCTGCCCTGCAGAACGGATGGTTGTTGTAGACATAACTTATGAGCTATCGCGTTCGGATTCTCATCGTTTTGCAATGTTGCAGTCACTAGACTGCGACAACGGTCTATTCCGCCGCATATCGCAGTAATCCGAGTTCAATCCTTGTGCTGTGGTTCCTAGAAGAGACTTTTCTAGTCGTACATGCCCAACTTTGATGTTCGCAACGATTTGCTGATGTCCGGCTTCCAGCCGCATGCGCGGCACCATTGCTACTCGGGGCGACGCCGACGACAGAGCTCCAAATAGGACGCGTCCTAGAGAGAGGAAATCGACAAGACAAGCGTGTACGCGCGAGCTGGCACGTCCGTCGAAGTTGCGCAGCGAGCGTTCCGCGAAGACCGCTAGAAAAATAACAATGTCATACCGATTGACGATTCGTTCACAACAAAGTTCTAAGTCGTCTGTTTGTTTTACAGTCCCACTAGCACTTCTCTATCTACTCCCAAATACATTCGTTCCCGCCCGACCGTCACCTACGCTCACAGGCACGACCCGAGTCGATGAATGTGTTGATCGCTGTAGCACTGCTGCTCTACCTCAAGCTGGAGAGGGTGTAGCAGACGACGCCACGTTCGATGCGATCATGAACGTGAGCCGCTGAGGTCCGCCACATATCTCGTTGACTGCGCAATATGAGCATGCAAACATAAGCAAAACACATTAAAAACTCACTGTTCCCAGCGCAATGGTTCGTGCATTCGTTCCAGGTGACAAGGTCCATGGTCGCGCCGTTGCGCATCTCGTTGTCGCAGTAGCACTCGTCAGAATACTCGGCACCAGCAAGGGAGAAGCCCCGCGACGCGCAGAATCCAGCGCACACCGCGCGCGTCATGTTCGGGCTCGTCGTCGACGCGCCGGTGAGCGCGCGGCCACTCGTGCCCTCAGCAATGCATCCGAGCTCCGTCCAACCTGTAGGAATGGGTGTCTGAGCGGGGACGAGGGCGGGCGTTGGCGCATTCGGGTCAGGGCAGGCCGGCTTCACGACGGTGCCGTTCCACAGAGGGTTGCATCCAGGTAGGATTGTAAGGGGCGCGTTGAAGCCGATCTCTTCGTCGACGATATCAGTCTCAAGGACGCAAGCGGACGCGGATGCCTGATCGAATACCGCGGCGAGGACGGGGCAGTCCATGACGTTGCCATTAGCGTTGGGGCAATTGTCGAGAGCGTTCTGGAGAAGGTCGACGTCCCATCCGTTCGTGAAGTCGCCATGATGGCCGTATCCGCTTGTGTCGCCGTTCGCAAGAACCCAGGTCCCGGGGCCCCAGTAGTCGAACTGGTCGACTTGGACGAGCATCTCATAGAAGAGGGAGACGAGGTGGACAGGGTGACTGTCGGGACAGTCTCCACTGTTGAAATTCTGAATGGGGTAGGAGAGGTGTGACTTGTGATCCGACGAGTCGAGGTTGACGCCGTCCCAGCAGGAAGGGAAAAAGACTTCGGCCCGCATGCCGTCCGGGCAGTTGTGGTCGAAGAAGTCCGGCCGCTCCGCCCAATCAGGATCATTGTCGTGAGCCCCACTGAAGTCTGAAAGGAACGACTAGTACGGCTTTACATAGAAAGAATGACTACGTACCTTGGCAGACAAAACTTATGGCTTGGTCGGCGAAGCTGGACGCATTGTAGGACCGCCTTTCAGTGTCTCCAGCAAGCATCTACGCGCATACAAATGAGCCACGACTGTCTGGAGGTGCTTCAATGACAGATGATCTCACCCGCAACCCCTTAGGGAAAGCTTTGATAGGTTGGTTGAGAGGGCCAGGACGCTGCAAGTAATAGATATTGAAGCTGGTGGCTGAGGCAATTCGTCAGCGGTTGTCGAGTAATGAGAACCACAAGGTGAGCTCTGTGGCACTCAAGTCATGCACACAGGATATCCAGTGATGTTCCTCTTTGCCGGGAGGTGATACACGGTGAATTTCGTGCACGCCATCACCGCAAGCAGTCATTGGATTGGACACCTATCATTCAGCAACCGCAAGCCTATGTTGCGTGTCGGCACGTCCATCAACGGAACATCGTGCCGTATACCAGGCGAAGATGGGGGAGCGACTCTATCTGACTGCGAAGACGTTCTCGGCGATGGAGCGAGCTCTGGACAGCCGGAAGCGAACAAGGCCCCGAATAACATACCGCGAAAGCCATGTTCGCGGATCCGGTACTAGATCAAACCCTGTAGCTTAACTGGTTCGCGCAAAGCGTGCCGGCAGAAGCACGATAGCATCTGCATCAAACTAGACGCAAGTCTTGCATACGTAACCGAGACGAGGAATACTCACGGATGGGTGTAAGCTGACCAGTCTGCTGGTCCCGATGATATAGCTGAGGCTGCATGATGGTCAGTCATCACATCGAGATCATCCTAGTAGGACAAATGCAAGCAGTGCTTACAGCCCAATAGTTGCTTTTGTCGGGCTGGACGGGGATCGTGGTGCAGTTGCTCTGGACGAGGTCGTCCGGGTCGTAGACCTCCTTGAAGCGACTAGCACCGACGACTGAGTGAACGTGGCCTCCAATCTGAAGGAAGCATCTTTAAATGTCAGTTATACGGCAAATGTGGCGGCGCGAATTACCGAGTTGGGGGAGACGACTGGGTCAAGGCGCGTCGTCACGATGGGCGGAGTACCGCCAAAGATCCAGTACTGTGCTCTGGCGACGGTGACGACTGCGGCGAGAGACAAGAGTTTGGAGAAGGCGATGACGGCCATGACTCAAGCGACGGAAGGACTCAGGGGAGTTTCTCCTGGGGACTGAGTGCAACTCGTGGACATCTTATATAGGCGAGCAATCGTGAAGTAAACCATCTCTGCAACACGGCCACGCTTCAGCAGAATCATGAAAACATGAAGGCTAAGCACGGCTCATGACGAGCGAAAACTCATCTGATTCTCGGAGACAGTAGAAGTTCAGTAAGTTTCAGCGCCGCAACTGTTTCCCCCGACGGTCTGTCTTGATGACAGTAAGGCATTGGTCGAACAAAGAGTAGGCTTACGGCAAGACCTCTTCTGGGAAGATTCTTTGAGCTCTTGAGCACATGCATGCACCTCAGTCGGTTTTAGGCTTACGCCGTTGATGCAGCGCAATAGCATAACATGAATGCATGAGCAAGGAGATCACCTGAGTATCATCCTTTGGGCAAAGGATGATTGTCTGTTAGAGTGACATGGCACGCGGACGGTCATCCTACACACCTGGTAACGACCCGCTTTGCTGTGTCCAGTAAACCGCTTCCCAATTCGCAAGGCGTCGGAGATTCTATGATAAGTCAGCAATCACATAGAGCTTGCGCGCTCCATGGACAGAAATAACATGAACAAACTCTTCCGAGAAATGACGCCTCGTCGCACGCCGCTCGCAATCCTCAGTAGCACCAGGAAGGTTACAATAAACACAAGAAAACTACAATGTCATCGTTCGGCCGCAACTGCGTCTTACCGCCGCGGGCAACCGAGGAGAACTCAATCAAGTAAACGCGCGCAGCCACGCGGAGACATATGTCACGGCTCATATGTCGTGTCGACGGCGTCCTTTGAGCTTCGGTAGCTTGAAGAAAGTTCGCAAGATGACGTCCTGATACAAGGCACCCGTTTCCATCCATTATTGACCTTCTTACGGTACTACGGCCCTCCGGGCTTCTGCGAATTTCCGAAAGTAAAGTCCGCTATCTGTCCGCCTACAAGCTCTCGAACGCCGCGTCGATGACAGTCTTTTGCTGAGCGGCGTACAATGACGCGATACCAGGAGCAGGCACCGCATCCTCCTTCCTACCTCTAAACGCGACTCTCTCCCGCCCGAGCCGCTTCAACACCACGTCGAGCCTCGGCTGGACGTGTGTCCACGCACCCTGATTCCGGGGCTCTTCCTGTAGCCAGACGATACTCTCGGCAGAATCGTAGCGCGCAAGGACGTCGTGCACGGCGCGGAATGGGAATGGGCTCAGCTCTTCCACACGGATGAAGGCGACCTTCCCTTCAAGCTGCCGCTTCTGTCGTTCTTTCACAAGGTCGTAGTAGAGCTTTCCTGACAGAAGCACGACCCGAGACACGTCAGCGGGGTTCGCGATAGAGTCGTCGAGCACTGGGCGGAACTTCCGGCCCGACGAAAGCTCATCCAACGACGAGGCAGCAGCCTGCAAAGCAATGAGGATATGACAGTTGAGAACGCATCGTGAGAACGTGAAGCATGGGTGTGACTACGCACAGGGAGACGAAGTAAACCCTTCGGCCCCGCGACTATCAGTGGCTTGCGGAAGTTGCGCTTCACTTGCCTCCTTAGGAGGTGGAAGTACTGTGCGGGTGTAGTCGGGAAAGTGACGTGCATGTTCACGCTCGCGGCTCCTGAACCTTCGTGGAATGCATATGGATCATTGGTCAGCTAAAAGGGGAACGTCAAAAATACTCATGCTATAAGAACTGCTTTCTGCTAACCTGGAGCATACGCTCGATGCGGGAAGATGAGTGCTCGGGGCCGGCGCCGTCAAGCCTGGGAGAATATCGGTCGAAGATTCCACAATCGTTGATCGAGCACGTACCCATGTGGCAACAGCAGGACGAGGCCGCTCTGTTTGAGCCATTTGGCTGTTCACCTCCGTCAACGAGAACCTGATGTGCCAGTCGGAGTGGAACTCACTTTCTCCGGAAGAGATGAAGGTATCAATCATGACCTAAACGCCGCCAGTTTGGGTCATACATTCTGAACACGGATGAAATGAACACACCTGTGCACCGTTGAAGAAGTCGCCAAACTGTCTCAAAGACACAGTCAGCGCAGCACCCCCGACGTCACCACAAAGGCACCGACCTGAGCCTCCCAGATGGGCAACATATCGGGCTTCTCCCAACTGACACCGTACTCGAACTGCCGTCATATCAGTCTTCCTTCATTCATAGACTGAAGATTTATCGAGTCACGTACCCCGAGGACAGCCATCTCGCTGAGCGAGCTATTCGCGAGCTCGAGCCGGCCGCCGCCGCCTAGCGCAAGGTTTAGGGGGACCACGACGCCCTCCGTGCGCTGGTCCACAAGCATCGCATGCCTATCGAACAGATGGTATCAGCATTACCCGTTCAACTTCACGTTGTCCCAGAGAGAAGTTACGTCGTAACCAATGAGCTCACCTCTGGCTGAACGTTCCACGTCCGACATCCTGCCCCGATATCCGAACATCGTAGCCCTCGAGCATGAGCGAGCCGAATGCTAGGGCCTACACACGGCGGACCAACACGCATGGTGAACATACGTCAGTCAGGCACAAGACACCATGATAACAACACTTCACGATCCCCGTGTACGTATGCGGATTTTGTAAGTGAATATGTGTATACGTACCTCCGCGGTGGCCCAATCAAGTCCTGTCCCGTTTTCCATCGCCTGCAGCCGGTTCTTGACGTGTCGCTGCAATCTCGGATGGATTTTCTAAGGGTCCAGGAGGCTGAGTTCACTCGGGCTCTGTATGCCCCAATTTGGCCGCGAGCGAAGTAGACTTACAAACCCTTCCGGGACGCTAACGCTCGCCCTCCCGACCTGCTGCAACGCCTCCCGATCGACCCCCGTCTCCGGATCCCCAACCGCATCCTGGCTCCCGGGCCAAGTGATGCCCTTCCACTGGCCCTGCAGCACCGAGACGTGGCTGCCAGGGGTCTGCGATGGGGCGGACGCGAGTTCGGAGGCGAGGAAGTCTTTGTGCTGCGCGCGGACGGCCTCGGCCGCGTCCTTCGTCAGGACGTTCTCATCCTGCGCGTAAGATTTCGACAGCGTAGGAAAAAAAAATCAGCCGCGGCGCGCCGATAGCAAACATCAGTCAAAGTGAGCGGATATGTTGCGGCGAGGAACGAGAAGAGGGAGACAAGGGACGCACAATGAGGTGCTCCTCGTATAGGGCGGGGACTGAGCGGCGCGAGCGGATCTTCTCATACATGAGCGGCTGAGTGAATGCCGGCTCGTCGAGCTCGTTGTGGCCCCTGAGTTCGTGAGAGCGCAGGGATTATCGATGGCCAGGAAGCGAAATGATGTGAGGTGCCTGAGGTCGGGGGAGGGAGTGCGGGACGTACCAGCGGCGGTAGACGATGAGGTCCACGATGATATCCTTGCGGAAATAGTTGCGGTACTTGAACGCGATGTCCATCGCACGCTGCACGTCTGCGATATTCTCTGTGATTAGGTCTCGACGACGGAGCATCTTCCAAACTCGACTTGCCTTCCGGGTAGTCGCCATTGACGTGGAGGACGGGGGCGTTGATCATCTTGGCCACGTCCGAGCAGTACAATGATGACCGGGCGCTCGACGCAGGCGTCGTGTATCCGATGCTGATCTGCAATGTCAGCACCCGCCATTACCTCGTTCGATCTCAATCGCACCTGTTACTACATGGAGCGCGGGACGTGAGCATTCGATTAGAGGTTAGAGCGGGCGAACTCACTTGACGACGAGATGGACGCTCCCTCCTACCGTATAATGCGGCAAATTACCTGCCGACCCGTATCAGCACCACTGTCTACTCCCGTACACCCGCCCCCGCTCCCACGAGAACACTGAGACGCACTCAACCCAAGACCTTCCATGACGACCCCCTGCCCAGTAAAGCTCGCGTCCCCATGCAGCTGCACACACATCACGCGATCGCCCGGCATGCACTCCGTCTCGCCTTGGCTCTGGAGGGCCTTGAGGAGCGCGAACTGCTTCGCACGCGTCTTGCCGAGTGCGACGGGGTTAATCGCCTCGAGGTGGGATGGGTTCGGGAGGAGCGACACGTGTAGTGGTTTCGCTGCGCCCGGATATTCCAGGAGAGGAGATGCCGCTGCAGAATGATATGCGCAAGTGAGTAAATCAAGCGAATGTAGGTCCGCGGGAGGGAACGCACTGAGATGGCTGATAACGTCTCCCGCAGCGCCGTACTCTTCAGGAATTTCGGACCCGCCTTTGATCTTGTGGAAAAGAGCGGAGGGAGGCAACTGGAGCATGCCCGTGAGGAGGTTCAGGCGGCCGCGGTGGGGCATGCCGATGATTATGTGCTCGACGCCGGCTGGAATGTGTGAGCCACGTCGTTTCCAATATTCCAATATGCTGACCTACCTTGCGCGGAGGATGAGAAGAGCGCATCGAGCGCGGGAAGCATCGACTCCCCGCCCTCGAGCCCGTACCGCTTCAGGTTCGGGAACTTGAGCTGCAGGAACTGATCGAACACCTCCGACTCGGCAAGCAGCTTATGTATCCGCTTCCTCTTCTCCCCCTCGAGCTTCCTCGTCTCGTCTTCCTCCTTCTCGAGCAAGTGCGAGAACCATAGCCTCTCCGTCTTCGACGGTGAGTGCATGTACTCGTACGCGACGCGCCCCACATATACCTCCCTCAAGTGCCTCGTGATCTTCTCGAGCGGCCAATGTTCCGGCCCCGCGTCCTGCCCGACGGGGCGCGTCCATATGATGCCATTGATGTCGTACGTGCTGGCGGGGTCGGCGAGGCCGTAGCGCTCGGGGCTGAGCGCAGCGACCTCTTCGCGCTGGAGGAGATCGAGCGGGTCAACGCGGGCCGCGCGATGGCCATGCGTACGGAGGGAGTCGACGTAGCGAAGTAGAGGCGCATTGGCGGTGCGGTTCGCGAGTTGGGCGGAGGTGTCTGGGGACGTAGGGATGAGCATCGAGGCGTGATCTCTCTCAACCTACCCTCCTGCGACAACATAACGCGACAAGATTTTGTACTCACAGTCGGGGAGCGTGAAGGCCCGCTGCTCACGATAGCCATACGAGTAGTCGTAGTAGCTCCTGCGCAACTTGGTGCAGAGCGTGGGTCGACGCGTCCGGGGCGCGGAGAGGAGATACGAAGGTATACGAGTGCTGCCCATGTCGACCGCTCTCCTTTAGGTGTTTCCAGCTCCTAGGTGATCGTCAGAAGTCAGACAGCACGACCATGCCAGGGTGGGCCGAGGTGGACTGTAGGCGTTCCCCGGAACGGACCATGGTCGGTAGTGGCCGTCACGTGAGGAGCGCCTTGATCCATACAAGGCACTTCCCGACAGATCGCACACAGCCTCAGTACTGTCGGTATGACAAGATACGAGATACGTCGTAGACAAGCGATGTTTATCGAGAGGAGGAAGAAAGATGCAAGGCTCACAACGCTTGCAAGGCGACTTCAATCACAAGGCCCACGCCCCCGCGGTCCGACCCTGCCGTGAAGCGTGCCGCACTGTGCCGGTAGCTATAGTCGCAGAGCGAAGCGCGCCAAACAAAGTGAGTTGCTCTCTACCAACCTCCACATGCCACCATGAATCTTACTACACTCCTAGGCAAGTCCGCGTTGAGGCACATCAAATAAGCCTCTGGAACTCTTGAACTAGTGGATAGCTTTCGTAAGGACAGTCTCTTGCCAAGAACAGCGCGACGATACGCCATATGCACGAGGATCTCTACACGAACAACGTCAACGGTCCGGTGTCCGGTCCGTCCTCCGTCCCCCACCTCCTATAAAAGCCGGGTGCAAGGGGGAAGCATAGCGCAATCCTCTCCAGAAGCTTGTGCGATACCACCATGGCTCTTTCTCCGACCATCAAGCTCAACAACGGCGTCGAGATTCCTGCCATCGGTCTCGGTAGGTCTGCATATCGCTTTCGGCGACGCAAGTCGGCGCTGATCAAAGGATGCGGCGCGAATCTGGGGTATAGGCACCTGGCAGTCCAAGCCCGAGGAAGTAATAAATGCGGTAGAATACGCTATCAAGGAGGCCGGATATCGCCATATCGACTGTGCATGGTACGGGTCCGTTTATGTTCCCTAATATGACCAAACTCAATCTGAGTTCACAGGGCCTACGGCAACGAGAAGGAAGTCGGAGAGGGTATCCGCAGGTCCGGTGTTCCTCGCTCTGAAATTTTCGTGAGTCCCCCGCCTGCATGGCCGCTCCCCTTGCGCTGATATCCCGCCATGACAGGTTACGAGCAAGCTCTGGGCGACCCGCCTGAACGACGTCGAAGGCGCTCTCGACGAGTCCCTTGCGAACCTCGGACTCGACTACCTCGACCGTAAGTCCCCTTGTCTTCCAGCGAACCTTCCCGCATCTATCATACATATCCTGTCTCCCGCAGTCTATCTTATCCACTGGCCGATCCACCTGAACCCCAAAGGCAACCACCCCAACTTCCCCACCCTCCCGAACGGCCACCGCGACGTCGTCCGCGACTGGCCCCTCCGCGACACCTGGGCGCAGCTCGAGGCCGTCCTCGCGAAGGGCAAAGTGCGCGCCATCGGCGTCTCCAACGCCTCCGAGCGCATCCTCGAGGAAGAAATCCTGCCCTACGCCAAGGTCGTCCCCGCCGTCGACCAGATCGAGCTCCACCTGTACAACCCCCAGCACAAGTTCATCCGCTACCTCAAGTCCAAGGGGATCGTCCCGCAGGCGTACTCCCCGCTGGGCTCGACGGGCGCGTCGTTGCTGCAGGACGAGGTCGCGGTCGCGATCGCGGAGAAGCACGGGGTCGCGCCCGCGGCGGTGCTGCTGGGATGGCAGGTCGCGAAGGGGATCGTGACTCTGCCGAAGTCGGTCACACCGGAACGGATCAAGGCGAACATCGAGGGCGCTCTTGCAGCGGCGAAGAAGCTGACTGCGGAGGACATAGAGAAGCTTGACGGGGTCGCGGCGACGGGTAAGGAGGTTAGGTGAGTGTCGCCCCGCGTTCGTCTCTCCGCGAAGTTGGCTCACCGATGCGCGCTTGCGACTAGGCTGATCCAGCCGCCATGGGGTGTGGACTTGGGCTTCGATAATTGGCCGGTCAAGTACCAAACGTTGTAAGCTAGACGATAAGAAGTGTCAAATCTGTAGCAATTATTATAAAGGGGGCTGAGTAGGCCTCACGTTGCTTATTTCTGTGGATCACGTCCGCGCACCGTTGCATCTCGAGCGGTGACGTTTTCAAGAAAATTCGCTAATCTGCGAGATCTACCCTGCATACGACGGAGAGTGCTGCATCCATGAATATGGTCAGGCGCGTGCTCGTTCCTTTGCTCGTGTATGTCTGCGTAGTGTTGTCATGGATGGACCAATAGACTGGCTTCATCATATATGGTGCTGCAACTCGCACAAGTAGGCTTTGGCTTGAACAGTTGCCTCGTACCAGCTGCTGATTACGCCAATGGACGTGGCTTCAGGCTGTGGGAGTATGATATACGGGTGGGGAGACGTAGCATCAAGCATCGGGATTGAGATCGCTGTCTAGTACTGTACACATGTATTTCCGACAAAGACTAGTGTATGCGCTCAGATACCGTGGGACGCTATCGTATTTCTTGCCTGTATGGAGCGTCTTGAAATCAGACCTGTACTCTGAAGCCGCGGTCCCAATGTCGTCGCCCAAAACGATGGGATCTTGTCTCTCCGTAGCAGGACTCAAAGTGCTCAGCAGAATATCTCACCTTGAGACCTCGCTCGCTGAATGGGGCAATTGGCCGTGATGCCGGTATCGTCGCTCCAGGGAAGCCTCATCCACAGACTTCTACGGGGCAAAGGGGTAGGCAGGCCGCTCCTCAAGCACAAAATGAGATCTCTCATCAGGGATCTCAGCCCCGATATGCCATGATCCGCAACAACAGTCAACAACAGGGTGTCGCTTTTACAGCGGTTTGCATGTCGATAGGCCCCTTGGAAAAGAACATGCTCAGGTCGGTTGGGAGCCGAACCATACGCGAACCTAATTAGGTGGTCAGACGCTCCGAGACCCCACCGAGCGCGCTGCCCAGCAGGCCCGAGTTCAAGGCGTCTCACTGACTCTCGGTGGTGCCCTCCAGCGTCTTGAATGGCGGATCGGACTCGTATCTTGGTCGGCTCGTCAACCGACCTGAGCGTGTTTTTTCGAAAGGGCCTATCGATATGAAAACCGCTGTACGATGGTCGCATGCGCTTCAATCCTCAGGCCTCAGGCATCGCTGCTCTCTCCCTCTCTATCTCATAGTCTTATCCGCAGATTGTACTATCACCGTATCAATATGGACTCTGCTTCCTCAGCCCCATTCTACCCACTGATTTCACCTTTGCCTATCCATCTCGCAGGAGAGTATGTTGTTATCACGAAGACCCAATATCTCTACTATGAATGTAAGCAGGCTGAGTTTTCTAGTTACCTTGCCTCTATCACGGACAAGCTGGTTCACGTCGATGAACCCATCCGAGAAGGACCTGCTCCCACAGCCATCAGTCACACTATGGCGCCCGGGACTGTGCAAAACCCACAGGAGAAAACCGAGGAAATAGTGCGGTCCGGCCAAGGAAATGGAGCAGAAAACCCTGGGTGAACACCGGTTTATGGACGAGCAAAAAGCGCGTCAAGATGACGGCTTTCCACGGTCAATCTGGTGTGGTCTCAGACAGGCGAAAAACCTCGGTTAGACAGCGGGTTGGAAGGGTGGGATTTACATCTGTAAAACATGGGAATTTGCACGGTTTCCGGGTGCCGGATCCTCGCTTGCGCCAGCTGGATATCAATAGGGAATCACTTATGATGCAGTACAATAGTGTAGCTAAACACGCTGCAGATTGCAGCGTTACAGTCGCATTACGGCATGCTGAGTACATAGTGCAGGTAGGGATATTGATATAAACTATGCAAGCTCGAGACCCTCTGGTACTCTCAACGACCACGTCCTTTTGACCCTTGCCACTCCTGCAGTACATCCATGCCAACACTAAGGACACATATGGGAGTTTGGGTAGACGGAGTCAGATATTCAGGGAAGAGCAGC